GCATACATGATGTGAATTGTGCTTCTACTCTTAGATTCAGATGAATGTTATCTCCCTTGTTTATTATTTAGCACATACACATTTATTTTTTGTCAGTTTTCATTAATGCAAATATCTAATTACTTGTGCACTAATCCCTTTGTTTTTATTCCTTTATTTATTTTTCTTTCATTTATTCACCTTGGATAATGTTTAAATCCCAAGGACAATCCTTATACCATCATATCATGTTTTTACAAATGTGAATGTACATTAATACAATTTTGTAATTCTTTTCTATTATGAAAACGAGCAGTGGTACGACAAGTCATTGTATGTTCGATTTTCTTTGGCTCAATAAAGCATATTTGAAACACGGCTAACTGTGCCTTTTTTTTTCTTTTTACACTAATAAAAACAAAAAAACTTTTAACTGTCAAATAGAACCAGATCTCCACAAAGTGACATAAATTAAAGTACCCCACCACCCCCACCCCCCCATGGCATATCTAAATCACCACTGGTGCTATCAGTTGGTTTTTAGAAGTCACATGATTAATTAAACGGAGATCACCTGTGTGCAGACAAATCATATTACAGATATTTCAGAGGTGGGACGGCCGACACTGCCATCAATAGATCCGTGCTGCTGGTGTGGCTAAAAACAAACATCTCATGTGGCTTACAGTTTGCCTGGAGGCACATGGGCGACTCTGAGGTCAGCTACAAGAAGCTTTTCATTTGTGTTCTGATGAGACTTATAGAGCTGGTTCACCAAACACTGCACATCATCATGTTGCAGCATTCCTAGCGCGAAGCCTGGTGGTGGTGGCAGCAGCATCAGGCTTTGTGGATGTTTCTCTGCAGGAGGCCTTGGAAAAGTAGAGTGTAGAATGAAGGCAACAAAATACAGGGAGATCCTGCAGCCGAACCCGGCGTCGTCTGCGAGTTTGTTCCCAGCAAGATATGTTAACCAAAGCGTAAAGCCGCGGCTACACAGACAGAAGAACAGGGAAATCCTACCTGCTATCTATCACCTTCAACCTGTCCTGTCAAATTAGTGCTTTCATCGATCTCTACCAGAATTTGTACCCCTCTTGTCAACCTCAGCACAGTTTGAAGCATCACATGTGGAGAGTGAAGCCTCTAAAAAAGAAGCAGATTTTCTCTCACCAATCTGTATTTTGGAGGATGTTTTTGTATGTGGTCTCAGTCTCTGTGGCTGGCACATTTCTTTAATAGTTATATCTGTTGCACAGAGGCATCCCAACAAAGATCTCTAAGAGGAAAATGGTGCAATGCTCCCTCTGGGTGTGGCAAAGCACAGGCTGAACATTTCACACTACAGATTGAACCGACAAGATTATTACTCTGGATAAACTCTCACAGCTGCTTTCTTGCCATATCTTTTTTTCTCTTTCCAGCCCAACATACAGATGATGTTCATTACTCAGCTGATCATTAGAGGAAGATGGTCTGCTCTCCTACAAGGTTTGGATTTCAGGTTTTACTCATCAACTGTAAAAATGGGTGATTCCTCTTCACAAAGTTAGGAGGGAGTTGCCAAAATAAGGGGAGGAGGTGAAGGAGGATAAGGGCAGGCCCCGAGCTGTGGTTTGAGGTTATCCTGAGTCATGAAGGAACCTCCTCTTGCTTCTCTTATTCTCCCTCTGGAAAAATTGACAGGGCATGGCCACATGAAGACAACTCCATCCTGCCAGTCATTTTTCCAAAGACAGCTTCTGTGCAGAGGGGAAAAACTGTTTTTATGAGTCATACGAAAAGAAGCCATACCATAGTGTGTCCTGCTGTTTGAGTCACACGGTGTTTTGTGTTTCTAGGCTAAAACTGGATGTGGCTGAAGCATTTATATTATTAAATTCAAGATGCATTTTGTAATTTGTAATTTCCCCTCTGACTTTTTTCTTTTATCAAATGCCTAATGTCAAAACTTAATTTAAAAATAATTGCAGATGCATGACCGAACTCTTATGATTTTGAATGGGGACTTAAGTGGTATATAATTGTTTTTGTGTGTTTTTGTGCATGTTTGCTCACCAATGTTGTTACTCAGAGTCATGTGAAATGTCACTGCAGCCACACCCAGAAGCCAGACAACCATCATTCCTTCTGTCACCACAGTAAATCTTCCTACAAGCTCAAAAGCACATGTACACCAAGAATGCAGATACAGTTGTGTTGTTTTGTTGTTGATGTTGCTGTGTTAGATCATCTTTTTGTATTAAAGATTTAAATAGCAATAGTGATATGTAGAAAAGAGCTATTGAAAAGTACCATGCTCTCTACTGACACCGTGTGGCAGGAGCACAGAACTGCAAATTTAAGGAAATAAAAGGACAAAGGAGTATGAAAAGAAAATAGAAGTTTATTGAGAATTCTGAATCCTGCTCACCCTTCCACAGTAGCAGAAAGACAACAACAACAGAAACATTAGTTAAAATCTGGACACATAAATACCGTTTCTCTTGTATCATAGAATCAGAAAAGAACAATCTATTCCAGTCACACAAAAGTAAAGAGGAGAGGAAGTGAAGGGAAGGGCATCTGAGTATCTGCCCCACTGTTTCAGAAACAAAAAGTAGCGGCTGGTGATCTGTCTCTAAAACTGAACATAAATGATGAGACGGCTGTGGAGAGACACCAGGAGGATGGATCAGTGCAGTGGTGGAGTGAGCTGAAGGATTCAGATTGTCTAAATTCCTCTTTCTCTGAGTCTCCTGCTTGATCTTTACAGGAAAAGTTTGACATTTTGAGTAAGATTGGCTTTAAGCAGAGAGCTTGATGTGAATAATGATACCACTTTCACGTCTGTTAAATGTGAAACTACAACCAGCAGCCAGTTAGCTTGATATAGCTTAGCATAAAGACTGGAAACAGGGCAAAACTGCTAGCCTAGCTGTGTCCAACAGTAAAATCCACCTTACCAACACCTCTATAGGGGGTTATGTTGTGGACTATTTCTTCGCTGGGACCAATCATTTTCTGGAGGCAACTCTAGTTGCAAAGCAACAACTAACTGGGCCAAACCTCTCCTAAATGGTGATTTGCTGTTTTTACACCTTGGTTTTTGTAGGAATTAAATTGTAGAAATATAATCAACGCGCTTCAGCTCCTGTCAACACCTGTAAAACTCAGTATTTAACGCTCATTTGTTCACATTATACGAAGTGTAAAAACAACATGGTGTTACAGTTATGTTCTGCCCTTAGCTTGGACCAGTAACATTCTGGAACACTGGTTGCCTAGCAACTCCTAACTGGCTCATAACTCACTCGTAAAATGGCAACTGGACATTTTTACACTTCGGTTTTTGTACGAATTAAATGACGTAACATGTTTAGTGAGATGAAGCCAGCACCCCTGAAGCTCACAAACTGACACGGTTTTATCTTGTTTGTCGAAAATTTACAAAAACCAACTTGTAAAACCAACACATTGTGGTGTTAATGTTGTGTCGGAGTTACAACTGATTGCCTAGCAACTGCTCACCTGCCCACAGCCGTTTGACGTCATTACACTTAGGCTGTTGGGTGGGTTAAAGACCATCTTGCTATGGGATCAACACAACATGTTGACGTTCCAACCCATGAGTACACAGTAGTCATTGCTGCATTATTACATGAGCACTCAGTAGTCATAGGTCAGCCCTGTCCAATCTTTCAACTTGGCTTTCATTTTGATCTAAACTACATACCTGTAAAGTTTCGTGACTGCACATCACGGCTGTGATGCATCAAACTTACAAAAATCTGATCACAGACAAACAAATACCGACAAAAGTAGTCAAAACCATCCCTGTGGTAGCTCCGGCTACAGCAGGTGTGTCCTAGACCACATTTTACCATGATGATACACTAGGTGAAATACCAGCCCTCGCTGTTGCAGCTGGTCCATATAAAGTGTTCTGGTGGGAGGATATTCCAACTGCTCAACAAAAACCAGGGTGCCCATTTCTCCTTTTCCAGTCTAAGCTAACTTGCTACTTGCGGTAGCTTCACATTTACCAAATAGATGTAAGTGATACCAATCCTTTCATCCAACTCTCTGCAAGAATAAGCATATTCCCCAAAATGTCAAACTATTCCTTTAGGGGAGATGAAGCTACGAGGGAAGGGATGGTAACAATAGAAACGCACATACGCCTGCTGCTCTGGAGGGGGGAAAAAAAATGCAGCACAGGTTATATTCTCACTTCGGTACCAATACAGACAGTTGTTTGACACACGCACAGACAGCTGGAGAAATGACACAGGCTAAGTACAAGTGCCTGAACTATTCAAAAAGTCATGTTAGATTTATCTAGTTCTACTCTACCTCCTCTAACAGCAGAAAGAAAAAAAAAAAAACGAAAAAAAAAAAACTATTTTTGCTCGTGCCTCTTGTAAAGCAAAACAATCTGGATGTTTTCTCCACATCTTAAGGCAAATTTAACAGAATGCTTTGTGCACCAACACCACAAAACATCAGACAAACCAAATTTTACAAACAACTGTTACAGAAAAACACCCACTGCCACTGTCCAAACTGTCTCCGGGAGTGCTGGCCTGAGTGTACATGCAGTGGGGGCTAATGGGGAGAGGAGGCTTCAAATGATGGAGGGTTTACCACCACCCTTTACCAAACTGTGCCAAATACAGAACAAACACAGAGTCGGAGATGAAAACTGACTCAGCCATTGTACTTTTTTCAGCTTTCCATCTAAAAGCTCTGAACACAAAAACTCTTTCTATAGGGAAAAGTTCCCTGCAGTGTCAACCAGCGATATCATTTTCTCATCAGTGTGCTGTATTGTGAGTGAACAGGTGCAGCAGTGTGGAGCCCCATGTAATGTTCAGCTTCCTCTTACTTCACCTCCTGTTTTTGGCACTGCTGAGTTTGGTAAGGTACGTGTATGGAATCCCAAGTCTGTTGCTGCATTTATACATTTTTTTTTGGGGCATGTAGATGTGTGTGTGTGTGTGTGTGTGTGTGTGTGCGTGCGTGCGTGTGTGTGTGTGTGTGTGTGATTAAGATCATGGCTGTGCATTTTTATGTCTCACTCACACTCAAAAATCTTTACACTTTGTTTTCATTTGTCCTAATCTAAACCAAAATAATACAGTCTTCAGGGTGGGAAGGGGACATCTGAAGAGATTTGTAAAATGCAGGTGACCCCTGCCCTGCTGACAATAATTCTACACTGTGTTCTCTCTCTCTCTCTCTCTCTCTCTCTCTCAATGAATCTTCCTCCTCCTCCTTCCTGGATGCTCTAGCGGATGGCCTTAACAGGGCTCTTGAAGCTGGAGGCAGCTTGCAGCTGCAGCTGGTAGGCCATGGGGTGGATCTTGAACCCGTACAGCCTGGAGTGAGAAGAACAAGACAAACATCTGTGAGTATTTCTTTTAGCCACTGTTTGTTGGTTAACAAACATGACAAAGCAGAGCAGCACTAAGGCTACAAATGAAAACGGACTACATACAACACAAGCATGCACAGTGAAGCTTGTTTACACAGTGATCAGTGATGTATTTGCTTTCAGGGCAGTGATGCATGATCCTGAGCTCTAAATTTATTTATTTTCAATCACCCCACTCACTGTGTCCCTCATGTGACATTTTCTGCCACGAACAGAGGACACAATAGAATGAAATGTGATGTGTGATAAAAGACAGACAAGAGTAGATCAATTAGAAATCTTCCAATATTAAACCATTACATATGTCTAATAATATCATTTTATCAGTCTAAATCAAAAGTTGGGGTTGGAATAAAGAAAAGTAGGCAACCCACTCTGAGACAGAGGACTTGCATCTTTCCTTTCTGTACGACTGTTTCTGTAACTTTTCAAAACCAACAACCCGACATTTGCACCCACCCAATTACTTTTCATATGAACAACTGACTATGAATGTCTTACAGGAGAGCCTTTCTGAAAATGTGTGCTGTTATGCTTGTATCTAAATGACATTGTGTCTCCCCTCTCTTTATGAGAGCTGGCTTTTCACTCCACCTTCAAGTGAAGCCATTTGAAACACTTTTGATTTCTGACGTGATCCAACAGCACTTTGTGCGAATCCATGTGAATATACCCCATCCCCTTGGCTTGTCAAATGCCAATCCCTGTCTCACCAGACTCCAGCCTGAATACATATTATAAATCATCGTCACATGAATAATGAATGGATACATCTCCCTTCTTCATGTAGCCTACAGCTTGATGTTTTGGCTTGGTTTTGCACTATGTAAACTCAAAATTAGTTAGCATACACTCTCAAGCCACCCTCAAGCTTACGGTGTATGAGTGCAAGATTTTGGTTAATTATAGTTAATAATTTATTGTTGATGAACATAATATTTGAGGAATTGATCCACAGTATTTTAGCTCAGTTACATCAATTCATATGGATGCTGTGAGGTTTAATTGTCTTCTGAGTGGTGAGATAATAATGAATAGGGAGCACTCAGTTTGAGACACCAGAGCGTGTATGTATGTGAAGCATCAAATTGTGACTGCAGTCACAGACCCCTGTTAATCTATGTCAGCACACCTTTGAACTCCACCTGCTGTACAAACCTTGGGACAAACTGGTTGGCGGGCCTCTTGGGCCTGTACTCAGGATGAACCATGAAGAGCATGTGGGGGAAGCCTGTGCCAAAATAGGCTCCATCTGTGTGGTGGTGCCTGGATGATTTCGGTGTGTACACATCCATACATTTAGGGCAGTACAGCTTCACCATGGCCTCTCCTGGGATGTCTGACAGACCTGTAGAGGAGGGAGGAACAGAGGAAAGTGGCTGAGATATGAACTTAAATAAATCAACTATACCTAAACTAGAGATGGCACTAACAAGGATGGTTTAGTACAACTGCGATAGTACATGCCTTGTATTTGCACAGTGTATCAAGTTTATCATCACAACCATTCCTCTGTAGACAGCAGCCTCCCAGTGTACAACAACTGCAGATATTTTACATATGCAAAGACGTGGACAGTCTGCATGTAAATTCCTAAGTAAACCTCTTTGATACCTTGTGTGAAACGCAAACCACATGCAAAGCATTAGGACGGTGTCACACCAATGATGAAAATTATGTTTTCTGTATTAGATAAAACACACAATCTCAATACTCACCAATAGGAAGCATAGGCTGATTCTCACAATAAACACGGGGGCAATAGCCGAAGTCTCCCTGCTGATACTTCTCCAACTACGTGGAGGAAATGCAGATAAAAAGTCAGTTATAAAAATATAATTCATAGCAAACAATTCTCGTTTAGCACATCACTCATATAAGGAAAATCTGAAAGGCCTTAACACTTTAAACTTGCTCTCATTCAGTAACAAGACGAGACAAACTGTCACATCATCGCTTTAAAAAAGTGAATTAAAGAATATAAGCACCATTACTGCAGGGAATGTACTTAAAGCACCTGATCATCTATTGTTGCAATGGTGCTGTCAGCAATTGACAGTTAACTATAAATCAAAACCTACATAGTAGATATCTATGACTAGACTGTTGTCGCATCGAGAATAAATCCAGCTTTAGCAGTACTGAGCAGCTGAGACTGTGACTTACAGCCATTTGCTTTAGTATACAGCTGTTCTTATCATGTCCAACCCTGGTTTATTCATTTTCGTATTCATCCCACAGATATCCAGCATCATCAACACTTTTGTTGAATATATATTAATATATAAGTCAGCAGTGTTTAAACTGACAACTTTCATCTCACATGGTGTAAATAATTTTCCTCCACATGAAAAAAAAAAATAATGGAAAACATCTTCCCTAATGGAGACAGGAGTGGTGGATTTTGCTGACACAGCTGGTACCTACCATCTGTGCAATGCCTCGGTTAGTGAGGATGTAGCGTGCGTGGATGAGGCCGTACAGCATCTCTGCTGCCTGCTCGATCAGGTCACTCTGGTTGGGATTGTCCTCTAGCTCCTCGTCTAAAGACAGAAACCAAAAGAGGGAATAGTGAATGTTTGTAGTGCCCAGATTACTTCTGACAGTTGAAAAAGAGATGAAAAGCTGTGCTGGGAAAAAGGTTTCAAAAGGGCAGGGAACACCAACAACAGAACTGAGTCTGTTCGTCTTAGATTTTATTTTCATTTTATAAAAAGGAGAAAAATAAGATCAATGATGCTTTGAAAGGGCAAAAAAACAAAGACAACAGAAGCTCTGAAGGACTCACATGGTTTCAAAGATCCTGTGAAAATGCAATGACACAATGAGGGGAAAAAAACTGCACTGTTGGGTGAAAAGGAGATAAGCAACCATCATCCCAGCTGAGTAGACGAAACAGTTTTAGAAAGACTGTTTAGCTGAAAACAAAAGGCTGTTTTCAGGATAAAAAGACTTCAAAGACAGACTGCCGAGAACAAACATTCTCACATTTCTGACGTGCAACAGCGCAGATTAAAAGTGCAGCACATGTTACAGTCATAAAACACCTGCAGCTCTATTAATTCTATGTCTTGATCTCTGTTGTTGCTGATAAATACAGATGGAGATAAACTGTTTAAGGCTTTTCTGCTGATGTTTGGGATGATTCTGTCTCCCCTTTAGACAATTATCCAACATACCCCGTGAAAACTACTGAATTTTGCACTTTTAGGATGCAAAGTCACTCCTACACAAGTTCAACCTAAATTTGAGAATATGCAGGCATGAACATAATACAGACCTGGTTCAAGGTCCAAGATCATGTCTAGGGCCTGGCGGTAGTGGGGAACCTGCTCATTGAGGCCTGTCAGGTTGAACTTGTCCTGGATGTAGTCCTCATCCACCTGTCAATAGAGAAATCCACATAAGAAAACATGAAGAACTTTGTGTGCTGAGATTTTTTCAACCATGTCTATGCCAAAATTTACACTGAAAGAGTTAGTCTGCATACAGGCAGTGAAGACATCCCTTCCCAATGCAATTCAAGAACAGGAAATGGGGCTCGAAAGCCACATTTATATACTGGAGTAGAGATCTTTTCATGGCTAGTATGATCAGGAGGAATTGAAGAAGCGAGTGTGAAGCTGCAAATAACACAGTTTGTTCCAACATAGAAAGGTCTCTTCCATGAAATTCAATACATACGTAAAATCCAGGATGCAACGTGAGTGCTTCTTCACTCACCTACACCAACTTTAATCATACATAGTTTAAAGTACCTCTGAATTGAAGAAACCTTTCTCTATCAGAACTTTAACTTTGCAGCTGATCTTGTTTTTGCCAGCTAATCCCATAGCAGGTTTTACAAGTAGATCAACAACTGATATATTTGAATATACGGACATATTGATGAAGGACCTGGTTACATATTAAGAGTGTAAAGAAACTCACCTCACAGAAAAACTCATTCCCCCTCAGTCCACAGAACCAGGAGATCCATGACACTTCTTCTGAACTGCTCATGTCTGAAGACCTAGAAGATAAGCAGAAATACTCAGATACGATCCAGAAATTAACAACACCAACACCGAATTCACTTTTTAAAGATTACATTGTCAGACATAAGGGGAACAAGGCAATTACAATCAGACACCCATTTTAATAATTCCATTCAAAAGTAAAGTTTATATCAAAGAACAAAATGTACATGAGCAAATATAACAAATGTGAATAAACAAGAGGTCATATGCTAAGCTGCAACGTCCAAATCTATGGTAAAGTTTAACAGACTCAACATAATTTGTAAATTCAGAAATGAGTATGTCAACAGAATAGGGAGATTTAGAAAAGAAATATACGTATATATGTGTGTGAATGTGAAATTCATCTGATAAGATTAATAACATCTATAATAGTGAAGGTTGTTTGATAGACTATTCCTCTAATTTTGCCCAGAATACTCATAAAATAAATGTTTTATTCTGTCTTGTTCCTTTTAACAGAAATTACATTTATTAATAAATGCAAACCCTAAGATTTACACTCAGTACATAAATTCCGGTACTATTTTTTATTTACCTTTAATTGGATTACTTCTCAGCGTTAGTAGTTATCTAAAAAAGACATTGCTTTGTGAAATACTCTGTCCTGACAGGAGCAACTTGGCTGCATAAAGAAATAGTTGCTGCCCAAGCCTGATGACGGCTAAGCTAATTAGCTCGCTAGCGGTACCTTCCCAACAGTTAGTTTGATTAAGCTGCCTTTGCTGTACAGTTTTTTTACTCTTGGACCCGTCAGAAACAGTTATCACTAGTGATTTATCTAATTATACAGGGTATAGTGCAGTCTCACACGACGACAAACAGTTAATGTAATGTAGCAACCGTTAGCTCGCTAGGCTAACTCTTGCTAACGACTAGAATGAGATTCAATATGGCGCATCGTTAGAAAACAGGCCTCCTGACAGAGATGGTCTCTTTTTACAGCACCGTCTGCTTCTGTGTTTAATCGTCCACACTCAGGTATGTGACTAGTTCTGACAACTTACCCGGATTTCAACTTGTTTATCGCTGTAAAACCCGAGAGATGAAAAATTTAGCAGTCTCACCGGTGTAAATAAGATGGACACCAGCTCCCGGTTCACCCCGTAGGTTGCGTTGTTCCTCTTCCTCCGGTGAGTTTAGCGGTGCAGGGACCGGGCTGACTGTCTGCTGCTGCCGCTCACTGTTTATTCTCTGTATTGCATATTTTTTTAAAGCTGAGTTAAATGGATTTGAAGATGTAAGTCTTCCAAATAAAAAGAGATAAACTCTGGTCCAGTGCAGCTTTATGTTAAGCTAAATTTTACACACAAAACTAAAGTCTTAGAAATTTTTCCTAATTTCTCAGTGTTTCTACTCTGAGGTACTGTACTTAAGTGCAAATTTGAAGTACTTGTACTTTATTTGAGTATTTAATTTTGATGGTACTTCATACTTTTTTTGCACTGCTCTATCTGACAGCTGTAGTTACTTTACAAATTAAGATTTTACATGCTACACTTATGAAGTGCTTATAAAATATGATGCCTTGTTAGATGTTAAACTATACAACAGTATATACAAGCTGAATGATTAGTTGATTGACAGAAATTTAATTCATAACTTTTTTTAATAATCAAGTCAATGCAAAATGCCATACGTTTTTTTGGTTGCAGCTTCTCATAAGTGAGGATGTGCTACTTTTATTTTAATGATTTTAATGATTTTAATTCATTTCCAAAAGATTTGAGGTTTGGAAATGGTACTTGTTCAGGCAAAACATGCTTAGTGTCACTGTGAACACTCGGTAAATTGTGATTTGCATTCCTCACCATTTTTTTACAAACAAATCAATCAATCAATTATATTTATATTACCAATCAGAAAATTAATCTATAATAATTTTTCCTTATTATACTTACATGCTTTTACTTAGTTAAAGTCCTATACTGAAAATGCTACCTGTCATCAAGTATTGGTATTACTACCTCTACGTAAGCAAAAGATCTGAATACTTCCTCCATTATTCTTGTAATTTTTCATGCAAAAAAGTCAATTTGCTTGTTCCAGCTTCTGAAATTTGAGTATTTGCTGGTTTTATATGTCCTACATGACATAAATCTGAATATTTTTAGAACACCAATAGAGAAAATAATCAACAGCTTAATCAAATATGAAAATAATTATTAATTGCAACCCTGTTGTGTTAACTTGAAAATATAATTGTGAGGAAATTCAATAGTTTCCATTCATGGAGAACACTGTCAAACATAGGTTTAACTAATGGCATTCATTTTAGCTGCATTACATCTTGGTGTGCCAGTATGACTCCAGCTCATTGGTATGGTTTATGGACACTCCTACACTGAGTTAAACCGTCACTGTTATTAGTTAAACCTGTACCTTTCCTGCTATGACATGTCAAAACGTGTGCAGTGATAAACGTGTTTCGCCTGGCTTTAGATTTTCAAAGTATTCCACTTCATCGACAGAAGAATGAGACACGCGATTTACATTTTCCATTAAATCAAAAGTAGTTTATTTAACTTTGCCTTCTCTGTATAACTTTATTATAATAAGACACTTCTCTGCTTGTACATTGCTCCCTTGAACTAAAAATGGCAACATTTGTTTGTGGGAATGTAAGTTGGGGTAGACAAAACTTAGATACATACCAATATACATACATGTGTGTATATTACGGTTCCATTAATAAAACCATAAATGCTAAAAACAGTTTGAACCACTCCAGGTACCTTGGTAATGCTGGAAACAAAGTACAATCTTTGAGTAATTTTTCTGGAATACACTACTTTTGTTTTCTTGTAACATGGGTACATACAATAATGCGCACATCAACATTAAGAGTTAAGGAGGGATGAAGGACTCTTTGAGCCAGTGTTAAGTGTACAGCTATCAATGTATAAACCAGCAACAAGCAAGGCAAGCTGCACCCATGGGTGTGTGTTCATGCTTAGAACAAGTCATAGTGAAAATTAAAATATGTCCAACTTCACTTGCCTGCTGAAGAATGTATGCTTAAATTACACAAAAAACTGGTGAAGTTCTCCACTGCATGTCCTTCATTTATATAATGAACATATACACACAGCTGAATGTATATATGTGGATGTATTTAAGAAACAGCAGAACTGTCTTAATAATATTGGTTAAATAAAGTGTGGGCAAACAAGGCAGAAAGTGCTTGCCATTCATGTTAACCCTCTGGTCCCCACCCCTTCCCGAGTAATTACAGAGACACCGGAAAACGCACACATGCCACACACATACACACAGACACGCGCACACACATACACAAATCATCAAATGCCCTACTCACAACATCCCAGAGACAATCTCCAAACTGTTGTCAATAAACAAACAAACCCCAACTTACAGCAGTGACAGAATTGATACAGATGAGAATATCATTTTAGTTCACCTTGGATGCTGTCTCCGGTCATTTTGCCATTTTATGTCTTTTATGTGTGATGCAAACTATGTTTACAAGTGTAATCCTACATCAATCCAATATTTCCCCAACACTCCAGGTCAGCATTATTTCTTGGAAAACCGTGTGGTGAACTGCAGAAAGGCGACTTGCGTGACACTTTGTCACCCTTTCAGCATTGTCCTTAATTCAATTAGTCTGAGCTACTGGTTGCCATCGTGTACTGAAAACAGCCATCCTGAGAACACGTACTTTGAAAAATACTTCCTCAGACAAGGAGCTCTTGGTAGTAGTCCTCCTTGGTGTGAGGAGTCTCCACTAAAGCACAGAGAGAGTGCATCGCAGCACGAGCAGAGGGGGGTGTAATAGTACAATACTCAGCTTAGCTCTGTACTCTGGGCCCAGACAGAGTACCTGTCCTGTTGCATCACATGTAACTTGCCCAAAAACATTAACACAAAGAAGAGGAAAAAAACAGCAACCATGGACTTTTGTTATACTAAAGGAGTGCTTATTAGAACATGTTCAATTATCTACTGAAGCATAAACAATTTTATGAAAGTCAACCATTTTTGTCTTTATTCTATCATGACCTACATTTTTATTTAACTCGTTTTCCCCTTACAAGATCGACAGATATTTCACCTTGAGGGAGAAAAAAAGTGTTTCCATAAAAATGGAAGTTACTGAGGAAATAATGGTTGTTAAAGTAAAGCCATCACGCTATTAATACAGTCTTCATAGGGTAAACAAAACTCATGAATGAAAAAAAGTAAAACTACTGTCCTTGGGGAAACTTTGATTTTTGCAATGTGCAGAAATTCTGCAGGTGAAGAGGATGCTACGATGAGGCTCAAAAAAGCCTGTATTTCCTAAAAAGGACCGACCAATAACAGCTAATGAAATGTCAGAGCAGGTCAACAACTTGGGAAAAGAAAAAAAAAAAAAAATCACACCGTCTATCTGAACAAGCAGCAGAGACATTGATATTAAAGACAAATCAATGCAAGTGTAGGTGAGCACTGAGCAGTAGTACTTCAATGGGTCTTATCACAGTAATCAGACATACTTTGCAGGAGACCAAAAAGTCAGCGAAAGGGGTAATTGGGGAATTTAGTAAAAAGGTATTTTAATGACCTGCTTTGTAGAAGAAAAAGCACACACCCCTACAATTTGTCAGAGGTTGAAACTCAACTGACACGAGGCCAAAAGACAGAAACAAAACATCTTATGGTACATTGTTCTCGTTAACAGATGAAGCTGCACTCTTTCCCTTTGTGAGGGAAGTAATGCAGAACTGCACTACTGAATACCACCCAAGGCCAAAGTGTGGTAGAAATACACACAGGTACATAAATATAAAAATTAGCCCAATCCAAACATTTTTGCCAATTTAATCCCACATTTTGTTTTTGCACCCACATGACTGCATGTGTTCCATGTGTTTTTAAAGATGTCATATTTGTGCTTGTATATGCGGGTGTGTGTGGAGATCTGTGTGAATGTCTTCTGTCAAAACGACGTGCACCTCCATTTCAGAACCACATGCTTGTCAAATCCAACTGGGGTGAGACTCTTAAGGGCAGGTAAAATGGTAAAATTTGGGGTGGAGGGGGGGGGGCACAACTGAACGGAGAGCAAGACGGAACAAATGGAGAAATTTACAATAACGGACGGTAGATAGTTGATTGATGCAAAAGGGATAGAGGTGAGGTGAGGGGGTGGGGGGGGCAGCTAAAGTGAATGTGAATACCATCTCCATATACTGTACAATGCACTAATATGTTTAAGGATGCCAATAGATAAGCCATGAAATAATGATCAAAAGGGATTAAGATGTAAGAGGGTGGGTTTTAATGTGGGTGGGGTACATCTGAAATGTTTCGATTTATTCCATCATTTCCTATTTTTTGGAGAGGGCCAGTTGCCACGCTTCTCCCCACGGTTGCCACCTCCGTTACCAGGCCCACCAGAGCCACCACCAGGTGGGCCACGTGGGCCTCTGCCTCCCCCTCCGCCTCCAGCTCCTCCAGCGTTGACCCTCCGGTTCTGTCGCTCCATGCCAGGACGCTGGCTTGAGAAGCTTCTCTTATTTGCTGAGGGCTCTTTTCCCGTCATTTCCCGCTCGACGACACCTCCACCTCCGCTGCCCCCGCCACCCCTTCCCAGGTGGTGGTGATGGTGAGAAGAATATGACTTCCCTCCTCCTCCCTCCCTGTCTCTGAACTCTGTGAAGTCGCTGCTCTCGGAGGCAGTCTCCCACTCCTCGTTGGCCTGGTCTGAGTTCTGGTTGGTGAAATCAGGGGACTTTGCTCCATGGCTGTGGTGGTGCTGCGGGTGGGTTGGCCCAGCATTGCCCTGGTTGTAGTGGTGATGGTGGTGACTGTTTGCATTATGCCCTCCTCCACTGTTATTGTTGGTGGTTAGTGTGGCGTTGTGATTAGCATTTTGGCCATTGCCCGTCATGGGAGCAGAGATGGGGGCTCCGTTACTGTCCTGAACTGAATTCAGGGAAGGAGAGGAGGGTCTTCCTCCCCCAATGACCCCGACCCCTCCGTTGATTCGCGCAGCATTCTCTCGCTCCTTCAATCTCCGGAAGCGGGGCGGCTTGTCCTGTTGGTGCTGGGAACGCCCGTGACGGCGACGTCTAGGGGGTCGCTCAAATCCACTGGGAGGGAACCCACGGTTAGCAGGAAGAGGGAGCGCATTCGGCCCTCCAGAGTTTGACGTAGGGTTGGTTGAAGCTTGCTGGGTCACAACCCCTCCATTTTCAGTGGAACTTAGAGTAGCAGGAGTTGTGGCAGGTAAAGATGGCTGAGGGGGATTGGTCCCCTGAGTTTGCACTTGGCTTGCATCAGCTATCTTGTCCTTTTTCTCGCCACCATTTCCTCCTCGGCCCAGGTCTTTGGGCCCAGAGGTTTGTGGTGGGCCTTGCTGTTTCCGGGATGAGGCTGATGACTTGGAAGACCCACCATGGGAGCCTGAGCTGGGTCCAGCCCGGTGTCCCCCTGGTATTCCTCCAACATTCCCACTACTCCTGTAGATATTTCCGCCTCCACTACCTCCACCCCTGCCCCTCCTAGAGGGCACACCCCTGGGGGTGAAGACCCGGGCCTGGGAACCTCTGGGTGGTGCAGATGACATGGTGCCAGTGGTGTTGGCATTATCAGAGCCATTCTTGGTGTTGGATTTCTGGTTGTCTTCCTTGTCTGAGTGACCAAGGTCACTTGCACCACTCTCACTGCCAGTCTCTGAACCTCTCTCCCTCCGTCTCTTGGGGATTTCCTCATACTCTGAACCCTCACTGCGGGTTTCACTTCGGTTCCTGGCCCTGGCTGGGTTATGCTGGGACCGATCCTGACCATGCCTGCCACCAGTCCCCTCACCTTTAGACTCCTGGTGGTGGCCACCACCACCACCTACAGATGATCGGTAGTCTCTGCCACTCCTGCCACCCATTCTGCCCCGACTGCCACCAGTGGGCCCAGCGCTGGATGTGTAGGTGCCCCGGTAACCACGCCCACGCCCGTAGAACTCTCCCCCTCGTCCGCGACTGGCTCTGCTGCCTTTGGCAGGGACTCCATGGTGGTGGGAGGTGCCGCCTCCTCTTTCAAAGGAGCGGTCTCTGTCCCTTCTAGAGGACCCTGAAAATCCTGAGGACGTGGTGTCTACATCTTTGGGCCCTCTACCTGACCCTGCCCCACCTCCTCCTGAGGATCGTTCTTTTCCTCCATTTCTGGGTTTGGCTGTCTGGGCAGGCTCATCTTTAGATGTAGTTGATGTGTTCTGGGAGATGGAGGAGCCTTCCTGCTTCATGGAGGCTGGTTGTCCACCATCTTGCTCTTTCTCTTTCCCAAAGCCTGTGTTTGTTTTTTCTCCTCCATCAACTTCCCCACCCTCTCTCTTCATCTCTTTCAGCACTGGCTTCTTGATGGGGCCAGCCCTCTTGTTGGCATTGCTGCCTCCTGTCTGGTTGGAGGATTTGTGGTCCGATGAAATGTTGGAGGAGTCTTCCCCTCCACGGCAGTTGTTCCCACCTCCTGTATTGTTGGCCCTCCTGCCATGAGAGGACCCCCCACTCATACTGCTGCTGCCAGGCCGTGGGCCCCACTGGGTTTCTGTCTTATGTTCCCGCCCCCCTCTTTGGTTTGATTTAGGATGGGGATGCTGCTGCTGCTGCTGCGGCTGAGTATGACTGCCATGTTGAGAGGGAGGTGGGCTAGAGGTCATGGAGGAATGGGGAGCATATCCTGGGCCTGTTTTCTCCTGTTTCACATGACTGCTACCGCTGGCATTACCACTGTTGCCTCTTTCACCAAGACTGTGCCCGATACCAGCTTCACCCTCTCTCTGAGATGGGTGATGATGCAGGGCAACTTTGACACTCCCATCTTCCCTCGCAGAAGAAGAGGAGGAAGAGGAAGAGCAGGAAGAGGAGAGGGAAGGTTGGTGGAGAGGGGGGGAGGAATCGGTCTTCTTAGCAGGAGCCTCAACAACCCTGTCACGGTTGTTCTCTGGCTTATGGGGGTGGAGAGGGAAGTGAGGCTGTTGAGGGTGGTGGCTGTGATGGTGGTGGAGGTGAGAGTTGCTCTCAACGGGGGGAAGGTCTGCACGACCGTTGCGATCGTAGTGTGGGTGCGGGGCTCCCCATATCTGGCCCTGCTGAGATCCTCGGGGCTGCCCTTCATCCTGGTGGCTGAAGCTATGTGGCTGGTTTCCCCTCTCACTTGCCCTCTGCTGCTGCTGATGGGGGGGCATCCTCGCACCCTGGTCAGGGAAGTTGCTGTAGTTGCCCCGCCCACCCATGTAGTGATGAGGGTGGTGGCTTCCTCCCTGGGCCCCGACTTGAGCACCAACAGGAGGAGGGGTCTGATTGGATGTCCCAGAGCTGGAGCTGGGCTGCTGGATGGGTCCCAATCCACCCTCTCGTATGCGGTGTGGAGGAGTATCACTCCTAAGACAAAAAAGTCGGGGAAAGTATATAAAATACTGTATCAAACCATTACTAAAAGGTAATTACTAAATTACTACTAAAAAGATGAAACCAAAAGGAGAAACTAAATGTAAAATTCAAAAAGACTGACTACAAAAAACTTTTTGAACACCTTGAGTATACAAAAGTGACTTGTGCATCCGTACCTGGGCCCTTTGGCCACATCATCATCCTCCAATGCCTGCTTCTGCCTCAGTGGGGAAGTAAGCCCACGTCCCTCCCCTCCGCCAGGGAATACCTCCGGCCCCCAGGCCAGCTTTGGATCCATAGGGGGGGTCCCACGGTGAGGGTGCCCTGGATGCTGCTGCTGCTGCTGCTGCCTGTCAAAGGGGTCTGAACCAGATCCCCCAGAATCAGATCGCTCACGCCCAATGAGCCCTGTGATAGTGAAGGTTGTCACTTAACATTTACATTTACTAATTTGGCATATGCTTTTTTCCAATGCCTTCCAAGTGATGGACAACACTAAAGAAAATATCTAAACAGATATCTTTACACATAATATGTTTAGTGTTTAATTCTGGGTAAAAACAAGAAATTGTTGACTGGGTCAACAGTGTGACTCTATATTAATCACTCCCTGGTCTATAAGCTACTGCATTGGCCCACCTTACATTAACATCCGAACTATGTTCTGTAATATGTCAGAACTGTTTATGTAATTATTTAATCCCTGAGCTTTTGAATTACTCATCTTCAAAGCACTCCATCAGATCTCATTGATAATATCACTTCCACTCACCAGACGGGTGCATGCCAGCTGAATAGTAGTCCATGGGTGGAGGGCGGCCCTGCATCATGCGAGGGTCCATGTAGGGCATCATCATCCAGCGAGGGTCAAAATTCATTGGCAGGGGTGGAGGTCGAACCATATTGCTGGGCTGATACAGGGGCCCACCCTGCTTGGGTCCTGGTCCAGGCTGGGGTGTTGAACCTGGTGAAGGACCCTGTGGGGGCTGGGGCTGTGGGGACAGCTGGCTTTGTGATGCCTGACTGTGCTGCTGCTGCTGTTGCTGCTGCCACTGCTGCTGCTGCTTCAGGAGCTGCTCCTAAAGAGAAATAAATGTGACAGGGAAAACAATGTTCAGGATGTGTCATGGTAGCATGGGGGCCAAGTACATAGCTACTTATGGAAAATGGGGTGGTTATTTTTGTCTCTGAATAAAACTCTCAAAGAGCCAAACTAATTCAACAACTATTTAAGCAATAGCTGTACATAAGACATCAGACAAGTACAAATCCTAACCTGCTGCTGCCTCTGAAAGCGAGGTGGAAGAGATTTCTGGTACTTTGAGTAACCCTGACCAGGAGGACCACTGACTTGACGACCTGCTGCTCCTCCGATATTCTCAATCTTCACTGGCTCAACTCCTCTTTCATTTCCACTTCCTGCACGAATGTGAGGACCACCCATGGTCTCTTCCTTACTCTCTACCGGTAAAGGTATGTCCAGCGTGGGCTGTTGTGGCTGTGACACAGCTGGCTGAGGACACTGTTGGGCATCTAAATCAAAAAAGAAAGTTATGAGGTTTAATCAGGGGGCATGATCAAGAGGGAGAGGCTTTATTTGAGCATCTTCATTAAGCATATCAGGTGCTGACAAAGCCAAATCACATTTTAGTGATCAAATGATTGAGACTAGTCATCACTGATCACATGATCCACGAAACTCACCTGCACTGGAGTCATAGCTGCTGTTGCTGCTGGCTCGCTGTCTATCACTGACTCCAGGACTGGGCCCTGGCTGGACAACCAGCACTGGAGGCTCCTCCGGATCCACACAGGGAGATGGGGGCTGGCTGATGTTTGGGGAGGAGGCAGAGGCTGAAATAGATGGACTCGGACTGCCTGCTGTGGCAGCTGTAGAGTTTCCATCAAGGCTGGGGCTTTTACTGCTGCTACCACCCCCTCCTGTGTTGCTGCCTTGCTGCTGTTGCTGCTTCTCATCCAGCCTCTTTAGCTTCTCAGCACAGGCTGCACGTCTCTCCTCCTCCATCCTACGTTCTTCCTCCTCACGGCGGCGACGGGCTCGCTCCACAGCAGCAGAGATCTCAGTGGAGGACTGCTTCCTGCGCTGACGCCAAGTCTCATCCTCGTCATCCCCCTGGGCCCCCTGGGTCCCATGGACCAGCACGCCCGGTTGGGAAGCAGGGGTAGGGCCTCCAGCTGCTGGCTGATGCTGGGTGGAGCCAGGTTTTCCAGGGCCTAGCGAGGCAGCCTGGTTGTGTGGCCGGTCCTAAACAGTTAGAAAACATATGATGCTCCAGTGCACAGTTTTAACTTCAGACTAGATGACGTCATTGCAATCTTGTTGAGAAAAATGTACAAATGATTACGCCAACTGGGTTAAAACTCAAGAGGTAAAAAGCGAACTTAAACCTAAAGATGACTTATCTATAAGACCTGTGGGCGGTGGATGGGATAATGATAGAAATGATTTGTCTATGAGGCCCTAACCGGATGTCTACCTGTCGGTAAAAGGAGTAAGGCCCTTGTCCGAGGAGCGGCCCAGGTGGGGGGGAGGGCTGCTCCCGGGGACCACCCAATCCAGGCCTGCGCCCCTGTATACAGGCAGACACAGTTAGCCATGCTCCACCATAGTAATCTAAACTGACAAAAACACACACACACACTAACACATCTGCCCACAAATAAGTCTTTCCTTAACAGTGTGCACAAACTGTCCAGTGTTGAAAAGACTCTACATCTTCTTTACACAGCTAAAGTCTGACCTGTCTGAGCAACACACCTTTTTGTTGCTGTTCAGCACACTACCTGGTAGTTTGATGATGCTCCCTGTCCGCTCCAACCACTGCCTCCCTCCTCGGCCCATCCTGGCTTGCTGGAGGGAGGTTGGGGGCCATTGTCAGCATTAGAGGGAGGGGTGCGGCGGGTGTCTCCACCGCTGTCCGAGGCTCGAGAACGAGAGGTTGCAGGTGGGGCATCCTGGGACCTCTGCTGCTCACTGAGGAAGAGAAAACAGCCTTTTATAAAAAAGTATAGCTAGTATTGTCACATTTAAACCAAATTTTCTTTAATAGTTTACACAAACTGATTATACCACATACCGTGAGTCATTTATGCTCTCGGCTCGCTCCTCTTCCACCTCTTCCTCTCCTTCATCATCACTGAACTTCAACTTGGCGGAATAATCAATCTCCTCATGAGCCCCTGTTAAAGCAAAAAAACAAAAAATGCAAGAAAACATGAGAACCATGTTTGTACCAAACATCCATTCAGTGCATTTGAATGATTATTCATCATCCTTCACTTCAATAAACCCAATCCTCCACTCTCCTTCTCCCCCCTCTCTCTTATGAGCTGGCTGCAGTGACTGGAACTCCTCTGCTTGAGTCAGCAGGAAATATGATATGCAGAAACACTGGCAATATTAGAAAGCATCAATCGCACTCACTACCAGTATGTCATCACCTCCTCAATCATTTAGCAGCATAAGCAACGCATTAGGGCCACTTTGATGGGACGCTGAACGCTCCCATGTACAAGAACATGTACAACAAAAATGAAAGCCTCTGCAGTGCAAGCTCATTATAGCTGTGCTCTAAATTAACTGAAAAGCAAAAATGGAGTGTTTGTTCCATCTAAATGCCACATATATTAAACCACAACTTATTTAGTCTAATGTCATTCCTTTTTTCCTAATTCTGTTGTGTTATGTACTTTACAAAGACAATCTGTAATCAGAGATTTTACTTATTTCTATAGTTTCAGATCAGTGTAGATCTGTTCTCTAATGCTTTTATCATTAGATATTTTTCATTTTCCCTCTTTTTCTGCAATGTGAAGCAAGATGTTGATTAGATAACACTGGTTTTTAAATATTTGGAACTGGTCCATATTGTGTACAGAATGTTGATAGCCAAGCCTAGTTTTATGTTGGTTGTGTATCTGTGAATGAGCATCTTCTGACCTGCCCAGCCCTCGTCTCCGTCGTGGTCCAGCTCGTCTAGCTCCTTTAGGTCGTCCTGCTTTAGGATAGAGGGTCTTTTCACCACCTCTCCACCTGCATCACGTGGGCCACCCTGAGGCCTGCTGTCAGGACCACCCTGGCCACGAGAGAACCTGAAACAGGGGAAGATGTTTTTTGATATGTGATATGTTGAAGGTCCCAAAAGGCATGGCCTCTTAGAAAATAAGATGAATTGTGAACCCTCAAAGCCCATGCAATTTTGACAAATTATATTACAGCTCAATCTCAGAGCGTTTTTCCGCTCTGAAGAAAAGAGCAGGTAGATAACATATCAAGAAGTAGCACAATACCTGCTTCACAACCGATTTTAGCTAAGAACATACCTTGGAGCAGGCCCTTCCCCAGGTGGCGGGTACCTGTAGGGCCCTTGAGGGCCATAGGGGCCCGGGAAGGGCAGATAGGGAGGATACATCTGGAAAGAAAAACGAGATCAGATTCAGATACCAATTTTGTATTTGGAGGAGAAACGGAGAGAAAAGCAAGAGGAAACTTACGAATGGAGGCATGATCCCTCGGTATTGGGGGAACCCAGGACCCACAGGGGGCTGGGGCAGAGGCAAGGCGGTGCCGCCTGCAGGAGGGTTTCTAGGTGGCCCGTGGGTCTGGGAGTTTGGAGGGGGGACCCCAGCTGCCCCATCCATCACCATAGTCCCACCAGTGCCACCCTCCGCTGCCCCCTCCCCAGACAGGGTGGGCGCCAGGGCTCGGCCCCCACCGTCCCGCCAACTTGTAACGTCTGAGATCGCCAAACACAAAAGGACAGAGGGGTCAGTATGGTAGATTAAGTTCAGAGATACAAAGCCATTACTTCAAAGAGATAGCACATCCTTGCAACTAAGATCAATGTCTGAAGTCTTTCATAACATAAATGGATTCAAGTTTTGTAATATTATTTTAAGCTAATAAATGGGAAACAATTTTTCAAAGCATAAAGAAAACAATAATATGTATACATTATCTACACTCTTTGTGTATTTGAAACAATACAAAACAAATCAATAATTAATGGGAATCTGTAGTCTGTAACATACTAAATAATTTACTACAAAAGCACTCTTAAAAACAATCTTTCTGAGAAGTTTTCTCACCACCACTGACTTAATTAGAAGACTGGCTGATCAATTATTGGAGACTAAGTGGGCATCACTCACTCTGGGGGCGGAGGCTTGGTCCGGGCCCATACCACTGATCTGCAGTGCCCTGTTCTCTGCCAGCTTTGTCCTGGTCGCCAGCCGCCTGCAGGGTGGGAAATTCCTCGCGAGAGAATGGCGACGGTAGGTTTGATCCCTTTCCACCTGCAAAGAAAGGGGAAGACGTGGAGAGAATGATTTTCAGAGAGGGGCACGAGTAAAACAAAAAGGTCAATCCCAAGAAATGTATGAATGATATACAAAAAGGAAGACTCACCATCCCCTTGTGTTCCATGTGTAACACTGGCCTGTGCCCAGGACCTTGCCCCTACGGCCTGGGTTGAAGCTGGGGCCAGAGCCTGAGAGGGAGGGATGGGGGGCACAAACAAAAGACAAAAACTATAAGATACATGCCAACTATGGCTGCTATAAAGCTTCTAGCACATTATTAAAGGAGAGTATGATTTTTCTTTTATCTTACTGTGGCTGTTGGTACCTCTGAAGCTGGCGGGGTTCTCGGGCGGGTCGGTGCAGGTATCTGTGAAGCCACAGGCTGCTGCGATTCCGGCTGCGGTGCTGACAATGCATCGGTACTGAAATTTTTTTTTTTTTTTTTTTTTTAAAGTTCCAAACCGGGGGGACTGAAGGGCACAAACAAAAGACAAAAACTATAAGATACATGCCAACTATGGCTGCTATAAAGCTTCTAGCACATTATTAAAGGAGAGTATGATTTTTCTTTTATCTTACTGTGGCTGTTGGTACCTCTGAAGCTGGCGGGGTTCTCGGGCGGGTCGGTGCAGGTATCTGTGAAGCCACAGGCTGCTGCGATTCCGGCTGCGGTGCTGACAATGCATCGGTACTGAAATTTTTTTTTTTTTTTTTTTTTAAAGTCACAAACCGGGGAGACTGATATTAGAAAAAGGAGAATCCGACAACAGCAACGAGCAACAAAAAAAGAAAAACGATGTTGAAGTGCAAGTGTAAAACTCAGGCATGTTAGACCGGACCTACTTACCTCTTTGGGTCTGCTGGTTCCTGTTTGCTTGCCCATCCTGTGCCGTCTTTGGGAACGAGCGAGACGTTTGGGTCGTTGCCTTTGTTCTCTGCCTTCAGACTGGGCAGGTTGGCAGGGGGTGGCATACGCCTTGCGGAGGCAACTTTACCAAGAGACTGCAGGCCATGGCGGGGGGGAACTGATATGTGGAAGAGAAAGGAGGTCATTGACACAGATGGACCATTGAAACCTGACACAAGTGAAATCTACTGGGTGCAAGGAATGACTAGATGACAGGGATGACATTTGCTGCTTGCTTCACTGGATATACAATTAGGATGCTGAACAACCAACAAAGCTAGAGGATTGTTCGTTTCACTCTGATGATTCCGATGAATGCTGATTCAGAAAAGGCTTCTAGATGTTGTTAAAAACCTTCAGCAAACCCACTTCAATTATGGTTTATAGAGAAATGTTAGGATATTGATGTTCAAAGAAGCATGGAAAAGCCTGATTCCGAAAAGTGAAGCTGTGCTGAATATCAATCCCTCATTTGTTTTCTTGAGGCTCAGAGAAACCACAGTAGTGCATGGATTCACTATGTAGGAGGGGGAAATCTGTAGTTTGGAAATGGGGACAGCTGCTTAGATCTAGTGGGGAGCTTCTGAATAAAACATAGACTGGGGACTCAGCAAAGAAGTCAAACAGCGTCCACAAGTAAGCCTCTGTCTCAGGTCAGGCTCAGTGGCTCTGATGCTCAGCTGACATGTCAAGTCTCTAGAGCCATTCACCCTCTAAGCCCTGCATAATTTCTTTCTATATGGCTATACAAACAATGTTTTCTTTCTCTAAGTGACAGGTGTAAAGGCCTACAAGTAACGGTGGTAAACATCCCTGAATAATATTAGCAGTATCAGCAAAAACAGGTTGGCAGGCAGTTGAAGGATACAGCACATCATGCACTTCCTGTATTGGAAATCAACACCAGAGCTATTAGGGACACAGTAGGCTAATGCATCAAAGTTGCAGCACTTGTGGGCAGGAGACAACACAGCACAGCTAAGAACTTTTAATCACAACACCAATGGATAAATCCAACTGTGACCAAGCAGATCTGTTTCTCTAGGCTACATCTGATCAATTACAGAACAAGTTGTACATACTTAGTGGCAAAACAAAACCATCTGGCAAAATTTTAACAGAGCCTGAAAGGCAAGCAATTCTGAAAACTAATACCCTGGGTAGAAATACTGAAAAGCTTATCCAGTACACCGGATGTACTGTACATTGTGACAATGAAAGCTTGGACATGACAGACCCAAGATACTCACCAACAGGCTTTTGTGTTTCAAGGCTCTTTCCTTTGTATGTATCAAACAGGTTGAGAGACGCATACTTGGTTTTGCCTTCCTTCCCCTTTGCAGTTTGCCCAGAGCGCTCTGACATTGCGCTGTCCGCTCATTGAGTATGGTGAGCCCTGAGACTGGGAGAGAAAGAGAGAGATTTGACACTACGTATACACAGAAGGTGAGAAAAAAAATGCTGGTTTTACAAGCATGCATTCAGAACAACAAACCGTCTCACAAATAAACTGAGCACAGGATTTGATTACAGCAGTGATTCTTTTGGCTGTGTGTGGTATAATTAAGCACTTGGAGTAAATTACAATATGACATAAAAAAATACGTTATCCATAGAAGCTTGCTCATGGTGGGAATTTTTTGGGTCTCTGTAAATAATATTATAAAGAGTACGGTATAGACCTACTCCATTTGAAAAGTCTCTTGGGATAAATTCTGTTGTGATTTGGTGCTATATAAATTAAAAAAGTTGAAGAAGTTGAAGAAGAAGAAAAACCATCACAACACAGGCAGTTCTGGGAAACATGATGTACTGCAAGACAGTCATACACAATACATACCACCTATGCTGGGGAAAACATACTCATAAAAAGGACAAAATCCTTTATAAAGGATCTATACCAGTTTCTGCTTCTACTCAGGAGTGGCAGCCTCACTTGTCACAGACACACCAATCCCATGTGCCGACTAGTAAGACTAATGCTGATCCTCACAGAAAACATTTTCTGAAGCTTTACTGACAAATTTTCATCATTTGTCTCAAAACAGAAATATTCCTGAATTTCAACAAATATAACAATCAACTGAGCTTTTTTCCTTGTGCACCAGTAAATCACATTTGCACCAACTACACTGGACAAATTTCCTTTTTTATACATTGTGCATTTTTATAACATAAATTTGCAAGATAAATGAGGGGGGAAAGCTGACGACCAATTCCAAACATGCTGTAAACATTTATCTCCAATGAATTTTCTTTAGGCCCCCCCCCCCCCATTACAATTTTTGGCAATTTGGTAAAAATATTTTGGCTGACTGCTTCTTCAGCATAACAACTCAAATGATAAGAGGTTCAGCAATTTTACAAACAATTTACAGATTCTACACCAAAAGAAGTAATGTGGCTAGAGAAATGCAAAAATTTTACTAACTGAAACACAACTGAAATATTCCATTAAGTTTAAGGAAATTTTAATCACATATTTTAGCCTAAAGATTTATTTTGTGTGGCATCACAAGGGTCTGACTCATGAGGGTGGTTGGCCATTCTTTCCAAAATATTAGGAATCTAAATATTGGAATTGGATGTGTTGCAGGTATTGATCAAGTCAGATGTGCTGATGTGCCTTCCCTTCCATGAGAAAAAAAGTTGCGCAATTTTTTATCTATTAGAAAATCCTTGTTCCAAAATAATGACACAGCTTGTTAAACAAATAAATACATAGAATAGATATGTTAACCACAAGCAATAACTACCTAAAGGCCATTTTGGTACTTGGGGAAGACTTATTGTTACACACACCCATATATTTGTCCCAACCTCACTGTTTACCTACAGCTGCATCATCCTGATCACATGATTCTCACTGACACACAATGAAAGCTCAATGTGGTCTGAAAGGGTGATCGTGGCAGTTGCATCTAAATTTGTGCAGCTTTCCACTGAATAAATCCTGGTTCTGATGCAGCTTTTCAGGCAGGTGTGTAGGTATTTCCATACTGGGGATAACTTAAACATCCTTTTTAAAACATTTACACGAACTGTAGCCAGGACAGATTCAGCATTATGCCATTATACAGACAGTGTGAGCAGCCCTAGTACAGTGCATGACTAAACACCTCATCACAGGAAACACTGTACAAAAGAAAGGAAAAAAACAGAACCATGGTTTCTATAGCAACACGTTATAAATGATTTTCTTCTATGCCTTGCCTTGAGACAGCATTGGCTCCATGGAAACTGCCAGGCGTTTAGCTTGAACTCATCACATCAATAAAACACACTGCGCTGACATCTGTCCAATTCAGAATGATTTAGTTGCATCCAGCAGGTTGAATTGCTGCCCCCACTCTACCCAACACCCATTAAGCACAATTATCAGATCAGATGATTCATCTAAGATTGTTTTGCTACAAATAAAATTAGGCATTTCATTCACCGGCTTTGAATGAAGTAATGAAATGATGTGGACCAGTCCAAATAGTCCTTGACTTGAAGAACAATTTTAGAGAATAACAAACACTTCAAGAAATAGCTCAATGTTACATCATTCTGTAACATAATGATCCATGTATATTTCAATAACTGAAAAGTGATAGAAGTCATGGAAACTCCATTAGTTCTCGATATATCTGAATAACAAGTCTTCTGAATACAGTGGTGTGACTACGTTTAGCCAAACACGAATGAATACGAAACGACAATCAAAACAATTCTGAAAAGACACAAAGTGAAAGAAACTGCGCACCGACAATCCGTATGATTACAACATGCATGGTGTCTGCACTACACGTACAACTGAGGAAACTCAATAACACGAAACAAGAAATTGTTTCACAGGATAACTACCGAGCAGCAGCACCGCACCGTGCCTCAACAGCCAGATGAGATTAGAAAATTAGGTCGTGGGATGGCTGATCAGCTACATGTTGTATGGGGATTAACGGGGGCCAGCAGCTACACTACCAAACTATAACCGCAGCAACGTACACCACAAAGGGGCCTTGGAAAGCTAATGATAATGATAAGGCGCTAACCAGCTATAGCTGCACGATAATCTTTAGGTAAAATCAGGTGATATGAAAGCAGCAATTGCTACCAGGACATTACATATATATAAACCACTAGCTGCAGACTAAGACATCTTTATTGTGGTGCTAACTGACTAGCAGGCTAACACAGGGCCTCAGTGTTGGCGCTGGGAGGGGGACTGCGTTGATGTTTCATAATGCATTTTCAATATTTTGCGGTACCATTTATTTTTGTTACATCTGTTCACATCTGCTCACGGCTACGTTTTGAATCACACACGCACACATCGAGACCAGGCCTTTTCATGAAACAGTACAGCTTATCTCTCATTCGCAGGAGGTACAAGACAACGCAGAAAAAAGATTTTATTAGGAGAACAAAACAAAATGGCGCTGGAGACAGGCCCGGTACATATTAACGTTAACGCAGACCGGTTATGTAGCATTGAAGCCAACTAACCATCACACAGCCGGCATTTAAAGACACTGGCAACGTGGAAAAAGTAGAGATGGCTGTTTAGAAAACCATAAATCGACAGTAATAACAGTTTTGACAGTCAGTGTGTTACAAACGGCGCTTGAGCTACGCGACTAGCTTCAAGGCTAACGTTTATCCGCTATCATTAGCAGCGTGCAGTCTTACATCGTCAACAACCAAAGGGGAACAGATATTTGAACAACAAACTAACTAATTGGACATCATCGCAAGAAAAACAAGACATGTGGTTATTCACAACGCGATTCAAGTCTATCCTTGCAAACAAACGCTAGCCGAGCTGGGCTAACGAGCTAGGCAACCACCTAACGTTGGCTAGCAACAACAAGCGAAAAAATAAGACTATCCCTCCACAAAACATCCTCTCAGGTGAGTTAATTCTGTGTCCAATGATAGTGGTGATAATTTCGGCACAATGTAATTGTAACTGCTCGGTGTTTGCATAAACATGCAAAATGTTCCGGCCACTGACCTGGTCTTGTCCCGACTTGTCTCGAGGTTGTACCGCAGAGTGAGGTTAGCTATGCTATCGCGTAGCTTTCTAGCAAGGGACCCAGCTAGCTAAGCAACGTTATCCTCCTGCATGGTCAAACACACACGGCACTTTACAGTAAAGCGCTCTAACTTAGATACGAATAGTAGTATATAGACAAAGAAGGTGTTTGGCTTACTTGCACTCCTTTTCTTTTTTTCCAAAAAATAAATGAAAAGGGGAAAAGAAAATTGTGATACTGGACTCGATCCGTCACCGAAAGAGCCGTCAACGGCTACTGGATAGTTTCATGAGATGGGAGCCGTTTGGGACCTCTACTGTACGAGGGAAAACGCGACTCATATTTAAAAAACACCAAAAATAAACTTTAAGATAGTAATGTTCATTATCTTATGGGATGAGTTTGATTTAAAAAAAGAAGAGACTGATTTATCTACTGTCTTTGGCCATTCACAATTAGATATGAACATTGTTAAGAATTAAGATTAAATATGTTTTCTAACTATTTGTTTGGGAAAGCAAAGGAAAAACTCACTTAAAAGCTACAGAGACATGTTACTATAATAGAAAGAACATTGTTTTCTAAGATCATGAGGGTATCTTAGGTCATGCAAACTGTATGGTTCAATTTCTATATTTGTTCAAGTACAAGGCCGTTATTGATTTGCTTTCCCATCTAAGACACACTGCTGAAAACTAAAAATTCCCTTTCTTTCATCCAAACTTCAGGGTCTCACACACATTACTGAGCAGAAGTTTTAGGCACTAAAAATGAAGTGAGGATGCTCTCAAAAATCATTCCATGAATAGTTTTTATTTATCAATTGATTTCATACAAAGTGCAGCAAAGAGAAATGAACTAAATCAAATTAGTATTTGGTGTGACCACCCTTTGCCTTTTAAACAGCATCAGCTCTCCTGGGTACACTTTCAGTTTTCCAAGGTTCTTGCAAGGTAGGTTGTTCTAAGCATCTTGGGGAACTTGGCACAGTTCTTCTGTGGATTTAGGCTCAGTGCCTTCCATCTCTTCATGTAATCCCAGACTGACTCCATGATGTTGAGATCAGGGCCTTGTGGGGGCCGGACCATCTGTTGTAGGACTCCTTGTTGTTCTTGTGACTGAAGAAAGTTTTTATGACTCCAGCTGTCAGGCTGCAGAGTGAACATAGAACTGATCACATGCCTCCCTGATGGTATTAAGAATCTAAGCCTAACAACTGTTTCTTTTGCAATAATCAACACATTTATTTTAATTCTTTATTTTGTATGTAGTTCCAAAATAATCTCTAAAGTTAAAGTGTGGGTAATAAAAAAAAAAACAATTTGACTCTTCTTTACAGGATTTCTCAAGTTGAAGACACAGCTAGAGTAAAATTAATACAACAGCCAGTACAGATTTGTCAATTGTAAATTTCAAATATTTTTTCTTTAACCCTGGTGTAAATCAAGTTGTTCCCTTCCACTGTCAAAAGGCACTTCACTGGGAGGTATTCTCTTTCATCATCTGAACTGTACAGTTAATGCTCATTAGAGTGGTTGATTTCTTTGCCTAAAGCATCAATGACAATAAATAAAGCAGTATGCAATTGCTAGAAAACAATGTAAGCCTGTGTACGATTCTGGTAATACAGGGCATAAGTGGACACTAGATTTAAAAATAAAACATCAGAATTTGAGCAGAGTGGAACTTAGAGTGATTACAAAAAATCAGAATACATTCTGTACAAGCACAAAAGAGGATACTTTGGTTACATTATGCACTTATCTCTTCAATTGCACACACTTTTTTTTTTTTTTCTTTTTTTTTTAAAATTGCATTCATTGTTTTTCCAAAACCACTCAAGCCCCAAACAGAAACAGTATTCAAGTGCAGTCTCACACACAAAAAGCTATTAACATTATTTTACAGTTTTTTTTGAAAGGCAGAATTGATTTCAGTCAGCATGAATTCGCAACACACTCACATTCTGATAAAGGCCAAAAATCCCTCATAATAATTACAAGCACAGATCCACGTAAAATTTAAGTCGGATATTTAAGTATCAAACTGTTGCAACTAGGAATGATTTCACAGTGATGCCAAGTATACAGTGACTCAATCAGTTCATTAGTGATAGATAATCTATGCCAGGGGTGTTTAAAATTTATATTGTATTGACATTGGTCTAACTCTGGATGGAAAACCGGTGCGATACTTTGGTGCGGTATCATATTGAAAATGGAGTGTTGTTGTCAGCTTCAAAACACACGATATTTACATGACAGTATGGTTTAAGCAGCTCGGAAACTAGTGTACTTGTCCCATAAAATAATCTTCAACATTTTTTTCCCAAAAGCTGCCCCTTGCTATCATATTTTCTCTTGTCTTGGAAGAAGGAACTCAAAAAATACTGTGGCTGTGCAGTACAAAAAGACAAATATTTTCATTCATTCATCCATCATTCATGATGCAGAGCCAATCATTTCTTCATATTTAATATCACAAAGTCAGTCTTTCATTTTCTTCCTGAGCAAGATTACTTTTCCCTTCAGTGTTTGAATCTGTGAGACAAAGACAAGGTGAAATCAAAACAGGAGTCATCCTCAGATATATATATATATGTATTTTTTTAAATCAAACAAAGAGTGTAAATATTAGTCTACTCACAAGCTCTACCGGCCACCATACAGGTGGATCTTGGCAAACGAGACAGTCTCATCATAGTCCTTGTGGCCCTTCTCATAGATGACAAAGATGTACTTCCGGTCCTCTGGAGAACCGCTGTCCAGCGATGTGATGCAGGAGTAGCCGCTTGGCCCTGCCCATATCTGGACAGCTTTATTCTCCCAAGAAGTGCCATTAGTCAGTGACCAACGTAAGGTCAGGTTAATTCCTGAGGGGGATAGAGCAAAAGGTTAGTATGCTCAGTCCAGCTGAAACAATGAGTCGATTCAGTCTGTTGATCGACAGCAAAATAATAAACAGCAGCTATTATGATAATCAATTTACCATTAAAAAATAGTGAAGAAAAGGAACCAAATAGACCGATTCCAGCCTCTCAAATCATATATCATTATAAACTAAGTATTTTTGTGTAATACTTCAATAGTCAAACGAAACAAAAACATCTGAAGATGTCACATTTGGCTCTGCAAAGTTGTGATGGGCAGCATCTCTAATACTCATTTACTATCCTCTTTTTAACATGGATTTTAAATCTAAAATAAAGTACATTGATAGCTTGTTCTGTCATGAAGGAATCAGTGATGGAGGAAAGCAGCTTAGTACATTTATGTACCTTTCCTAAGTACTACTTTGAGGTTTAGGTTTTACTTTCGATTTTATGCTACTGTATACAAATATTCCACATTTGTTTCATATCTACAGTTACATATTTTACATATTACAATTTTGCTAGTTAAAAGAAGTTAAAAGTTAAAAGAAGTTAAAAGTTAAAAGAAATATGGTGCAACAGTAAATTGAAAACAAAAGTGGTTCTTAAATGTTAATATATCAATAATAATATTCCAATAATATCACGTATATGATACAAAAACATTCTGAAAGGGATCTGTCCATCCAACAAATACTTTTACTTATGATCCTTTAAGTACATCTTTCTAATACTTTTGTCCTTAGACAAAGATTTGAATGCAGGACTTTAATTTCTAACAGTATTTTTATAGAATGGTATTATGGTACTTTTGCTTAAGAAAAGACACAAGTACTTCTTCCAATTCTGAGCATCAGTGATAAAAAGTTAGGAAGGAGGAAGAGATTGTGACTCTTAGTGGTTCTTACGGTGTTGATCGTTGGAGGGGTTGGTGAAGTACAGCACGCCGTCTTTCTGCAGAGCTCCAGCTGCTACCACAGGATCCACCAGTGCGTAGTCGAAGAACAGATCATCTATGGGCAGGGACAATCCCCCGTCATAGCTGCGCACCACCACACGACATCTGCAGTGGTAGTTGTTCTGGTTCCGCACATTGATGACAATGCTGCCGTCTTTCATCTCCACTGGCTGCAGAGGCGCAGAGATGGAGGAAAAAGTTTAATTTCCAAAACTCTCAAACTGCCTGACTTTCAAAAGGTATTTTTAACCCTAAACAGAGTAGCTAAAATAAATCTGGAATTAACAGGAGCATGCGGGAGGAAAGGAAACCTGCAAACTACTTGAATGTTAACTTCATTTCACTGACTGACATTAGATTAATTATGACACCTTGGTATCTCTGCATGTGAAGGCATCACAACAGTTGAGAAATCTGCCAGATGTTCTAGAACATCAAGTTTAAGGCTGATTTTCTTTTTCTTGGCCACTAGAGGGCAGAAGTACTCCAAAACAAGCTGACAGATAAACATCCATAATAAAAGCGGTCATGTCAGAAATGATTGCCCATTCACAAATCCAGCAGACACAATGCAACATGAGCACTGGTTTCTATGATTACTCACCCTCCTTAAAGCCCCCCCCCCCCTTGGCCTTCATCTCCTCTTTTAACTGCTAGAAATTCTTCAGGAGCTAGTTGCTAGCTTTGCTGTTTACTGCTGATGAGCATACAACTGGATACCTGAGACAGTATGAAGTACTTTGTTATCTCTTGAAGTACTTTTTGAAGACAAGGTAATGTTGTTGATGCTGTCGTAAGATAGTTACAACAGCATCTTCAAGTTACATCTTCAAGAAATAATAAAAATGTCACTTTTTCCAGGTGTTGTGGTTACAGAGGCGCCAAATAATTGCAAATCCAAAACGTTTTTTTCCAGACGTAATCATCATCATGTAATTTACAAAACAGCTGGAAATTTACCTGGCACTCATCAGGGTTGAAATCCTGCGGCTTCTTCTTCTGGTTGTAAGGGATGCTTTTCAACGCTGCACCGTTGTACCAGTTACGTCCATGGTCGTCACTCAGGATGCAGAAAACTCCGTCCCCCTCTATTGTTCCATGACCACAAACCACCAACCTCCCCTTTGCTGGACTGTAACGCTTCTGTAGAGAATAAGACACAAAAAGGACATAGGCTCAGTACATAGATCTTAGAAAACAAGGAAAAAAAAAAATGTAAATCATGTCTGTATGGATGAAGATCTAAAAACTCTAATAGCAAAGTAGAAATGACAAAAAGATTAGCTGAAAACTAAAATGTGCTATATATGATTCTTAATCTCTGACCGTATTCGCATTAAAACATGGTAGGAGAACCTTCAATGGGGCTGAAGTGAAATGCAATCAGCAATATATATCATACATTGTGACTTATGTTTTTGCATCTTGTATTGTATCATCATATGTTTAGTTCAAAACACAAAGTACAGTAAAGAAATACAAATAATGGGAGGAGGAACAAACACAGCTCTCTCACATCAACATCTCATATACAATCACACATACTCTTTGATCTGCCGAAATCCAACAGATGTTTAAGTGTCCTAAAAACTGCCAGAAATGTCCACAACATTAACTTAGCTCAGCTTATAGTTTCTGATGCATATGCAAAACTCAGCTGGGTAGAGGGATAAGCCACTAATTTGCACAATTAGAGCTTCCATCGTATTATATAATAATTCTGCTGCTGCAAACATTTCAAACACTCTAATGCCTGTTTCGACCACATTCAACGAGCCTGTTTGAAAAATAAAGCTCAGTGTCCAATTAATTTGAACAACATGATACAATATAACTCGGTTCACATTAGGAGAGGCAATTTTGGACACAAATAAGAGACCACACAAACAAAGGAAGCTCATTATGATGTAAATACACCATTGATCATCTTATCATACTGATGTGTGTTAACCACGATAACGCAAAGCCCGAAATTAAAAAGCAGGTACATCACACTAAAATATTGTTAAGGATACTGAAGTATTTATAGTGGTACTGGGACAACTCACGCACTGTTTTTACAATATGCACCGATTTTTTTCTCTTCTACTTTTATATACACCAACACTGATATTGTATAGAATTGCTACAATACAATACAGTCCGACTCGAGTATTAAGAAGATTTACTTTAGTAAAAGTAGAAATATCACAGTTTAAAATGAATTACAAGTGTAAGTCCTGCATTCACACAATTACTTCAGTAGAAATCAATTGTCAGAAAAATGTACTGAAATTATCAAAAGTAAAATCACTCATTATACAACGTAAAACCTGTCACTGTTACATTTTAATATATGATTGATTTGTCACTAATTATATATTTAAGTTTAAGCAGAATTTTAATGTTGCAGCTGGTCAAGGTAGAGCAATGTTTTTAATAAATAATAGTGCATCACATTATGTATCGTGATCGTATATTTTGGATGTAAAATCTTAATGCTCCTGCACCCACACAGGTGTTTCCACTTACATCGTTTAATTAGACCTCTTCTCAGGACTGCGTGGGTGTGCGCAAACTACACTTGATTGACATCTCCCTCACCTGTTGATCTTGTCATACCTTTTGGGGCAGCTGGACTTACCCCATCACTATCATTCTTTTTTTGATAATTATCATAATTATTATCGTCATTATTTTTTAAAGTTTTTTTTTGGGGGGGTGCATTTTTTGCATTTATTGACGGTCAGCAGTAGAGAGATGTGATAAGAGAGAGGCAGGAAATGATCATGTGATCTTTCTTATTAGTACACAGTGTTCAATGAAATCGCATAATAACCAACATACAGCAGCTGCGCTCAACATCCACCTGACTAGAGGTCTAATCAGCCGCAGTTATTGAAAACACCTGTGTGGCTGAGCAGCTAGTGACTGTAACCGTCAAATAAATGTAGTTAAGTGAAAAGGACAATATTTTGCCAACTTGCACACATTCATGCCAACTTGCACTACATAAATGTCCCTGATCAGTTTCAACTTATGACTGCTCTTCCTCTTTGTGGATACAATTTGTCTGAGACTGGCATATTTTCCCATGAGTTCCTAGAGTGTTTCTTTTGACATATCAAACTGTGCTTGCTTGTGCCTGTGATATGGCTACAGACACATTGATCTCCTGGCCTTCAGAAAACTGCCAGATCTGATAGAGTGCTGACAGCAGGATCTCTTTTATTGCTAAGAAATGATATGATAACTGCCATTAAAATCGCTTAACTCTAACTTTGTAGGAGGATTTGTTTTTTTGTCTACACTCTGTACTTTAACCTCTTATATACTGCCCAGATATACAGGAAAACAACAACAACAACTAAGCTAGCTTTCACTTCTTGATTTGGACAGTATAAGCTAGTACATTTAGTATAAAAACAAAAAATACACTTTCTCCTTTCTTCAAAAACATGACAGTTTGTTAATCAGGACCAGTCAAATTCAAACATAAAATGATTTCTATCACTGCTCATAGCATGAGGACAACAATAATATCCCTGCAGGGAGTTGACAGGACTTTTGTGACTCAGCACTACTTTATAAACCACAGAGAGCTTTTCTTTTGTCTTTTTGTAACACCTGTAATCACCACCAGTATGTGACAAGCATACAGGTCATTTAGCTTAAATTTTAGCTAATTTTACAGCTCGAAAACAGCCCAGCCATAACTTCTCAATCTTTAGTATCATATCATCCTCTCACCTGGATGCCGAAGCCTGGCCCAGCAACAAAGGTCTTGGCTCCGAGCTGTTCAGTGAGGTTTCTGGGCGGGCTCCAGCTAAGGCCGTCGTCTGTGCTCTCCACCATCATGGTGCTGGATGGGCTGCAGAGGTATTGGTGGAAGCAGATGCTGTAGATCAGAATCACTGAGCCCACCTCCTCGTCCACCACGACGGAGCCCAGGTTCAGGCCGTCCGGCTGGATTCCATCATCAATAATAAATGAGGTCGGGGACCAGGTGGCTCCTGGAGGAATGACGGAGAACGAGAAGAAGAAGAGTAAAATCAGTGACGACCTTCTACATTAACTACAATAATCTAACCACACGTCATTCTACATACTGTAAAGCTGCTGGTTGGTTATTAAACTTTGTATACTGGTGTATTTTGTGTGACACTGGGCGTAGGTCTGCGCTCTCTGAGTGGCCTTTTCTTGGTCAATAATATAGATTATCGAAACTGTTAAGTACAAATAGCTGGCATCAAATGTTTGCTCAGACTTTGTACTGTATTTATTGAAGGGAAAGTTGTCATACAGCTACTTGTGTTAAACAACATTTACCTTTTGGAAAATGTGGCTTTTTTGCTACAAAAAAAGAGGGTTTTTGTTGAAAACTATAATTGTTCCTAAAAGTAAGGTATCAAAGGAAACATTTTTCTATCAGTATCAAAAGTTAAGCATCGTATTTGTCACTTATATTGGAAATTGTCAAATGATACTCAGCCCTAATTGTATACATAGGGAAATTCTGTAGGTCTATACTTCTGTAGACATTCAGGAAGCTTGACAGTCCAAAATTTCCTGTTGAAGGCCATGAGATGTGACTGAAAGCTCGAGAAAAATCAAGTAACTGGACCATGTGATGGGAATTTTTTGTCAAAGTGCAGTATGTTGTTTGTTTATTTTAGTGTTTTTAATTATGTTTTCTGAGCAATTCGACTATGAAAATTTAGATATGTAATACAATGCCACTCTCAACCACTGTTAATGTGTGTGTGTGTGTGTGTGTGTGTGTGGACTGTGTGTTTTGTTGTTATATCTAACTGTTTTTGTCTGCATGACTGCTTGGGTGGTGGCCCTGCCTTTGTCTGTGGACCGCCGCACTGCAATGAACTTAGCTCCCACGTCGCTGGCTGACGACTTCCTGCCCTCGGCAAAAGCCAGCAGACTTCCCTCAGGGGTGAAGGTGAGCAGCGGGATCCTGTAGGTGTTCACCTGCCCCTGGGCTCCACTCACCCACAGCAGCTGCTCCTCATACAGCAGAGGGTCAATCTGGACAGAAGGGCAGAAAAATTAAGAGAGGGAGGGGAAGGACAGACAAGCTGACTAAGGGAAACGAATTGAATTACCTGTGGGTAAAACCAGTTTATGAAGGAATGATATTTTTGACACACAGTAGTTATCAGGTTACACAATCAAGCGATGTTCATACTTTCAGTTCAGGAAGCATTTAGACACGAAGCATTACCAAATCGCAACCACAAGGCTGCACAAGCTTCATTTTTCTAACAATAAAAACATATGAAAGCTGGACAAAACAGAAAGTCCAAAAATGAAGTTGAATTAACACTTCTGAAAGCCTCAACTGAAACAACATAAGCTTCACCGGTTTTGTACATACTACAAACTACAAGTACATTTACTCCTTAAGTACATAAGTACATATACGAGGTACTTTGAGTTCACTTGAGTCTTTTCCTTTAATGCAAATTTACAGTAGTAGTATTATACGGAAGTATTGTACATTCTACTTCTTCTTATAACTACACTAATGCAAGGCTTCTGTGTTGAGTTGTAGCTGACGGTTCTGCATATTTTTTGCGTGTAATCACAGCTCAGTGTACCTCTGCAGAGCTGATGATACAAAGACCGGGAGACAACACAGCGGAGAGAAGTAACGACAGCGCAGCGAGCCGGTTTCCTACGTCCATGTTAGATACACCTCCTGAAACCTTCTTCTTCATTCCGACAGACGAGTGTAGAGACGAGTTTCAAAATAAATCCACACAAAAAGAAAAAAGGGAAACAAGTAAAGGACGGAAGACTCTCTTCAGGCCGTCCACATTGCGATCTAAATTTCAGCATCTAGCTTTTAAGTCATATGACCGAGTTGGGCGGTCACGTGACTACCGCCATGCACCAAAATAAAAGCGGAAACGATATGATATGATGCACAACATTACAATTAAATTTTGAACTTTTGAAAATAGCCTTTAATCTAATCCGGCCTTTATTTATAAATTGTTATTAGATTTAGAAATGAAAAGTAGTATTAAATTACACACGTTCGTACGTCGTGACAGAAAAGAAAAAGAAAAGAAAAAGAAAAAAGTAGTACAAGAGAAGTACACCATTGATAATATATGAATGCTGACAGAAGATAAATGCAATTTAGATTATGTAAATAATTAAAGTAAATGTATGCATTTGATTTTCTGATCATGTTCTTCATTCACCGTAAGAACATTATTCTAAATGCCCTTACTAATTTTATCCACACGGGGGCAGAAGTTTCTTAAAACAGGACACCAGTCACCCACATTATTACTGTACAGACTTCTGCACAGTAGGCCTATACAATGTTATGGTGTTGTTTTCATGATGGTGACTGACTTTAAGCATGTGTTTAACCACCACTTTGGTTGAAAAATAACACAAAATTGAAGCTCATATTGAGAAAATTTTGAATTGAATTTAAGCTTCAAATAAATTCAAAAGTCTTTTAATTGCAAATTCAATTTTTTATTGAAATCAAATATAATGGCAAAAGGCAAAAAGGGAAATCTCACATATGAACAAATGCAAATTAATTTGTCAAGTTCAAGTTTATTTTAAAGGCAATCTCATACAAAAACAATACAATGTGCTGTGCAGAAGTAGTTAAAACATACAGACATGGAGATAATAACATAAACAAACACCAACAATAACAAAAACGTGTTGAGTTTATCTTTAACGGAAGATATTGTAGCTGCACACCTCAAATTTAAATAAGTAATCGGTGAATTCTCATTTAAATGAACTCTGGGAATTTGATGGAGACGGCAGTCCTGTGACCATATACAATGTGAGGATTAAATGAATCACTGGTTTGTGCTACTAATGTACAGTATATTACTGGGGAGTGTGTCATTGTACTGTGTTTAATCAGTACATGTGAGTTATGATCAGGTGATATTCCTAACTTTTACATTTATTCTACTTAATATTTTTGGTCTTTATACGCTACTTTGTTCTTGCATTTTTCTTTGTTTTTGTATTATATTTGCTCTGCTGTAACATTGCATTTTTCCTTTTGGGATTAAGTACTCTGTCTTTTTATGTAGGAATTGTTTCAGGGATTTAAAGCTCAATCCAGTGTCTTCATAAATACATTAAGACAAACATACTGTATGTAGGCTATGAGTTTGTGAACCTTGTATGACCCCCTCTGTTTTACAACAATCCTTGGACTTCAGAGTTAATGTGTAACAGTTCCAGTAAAGCTACAACATGATGCCAATGAAAACAAACTGATCGCTCTCCATAAATGTCAATAAAATAACATTTCATTACCATAAAACATTTTCACTGCATTTATATGACAGACTTTATTCTATATCAAAAGCTCACACTGACATTGAAAGTATAAGTATTAACAGGCTTTCTTAATGAGCTTTTGCTTATGAAAAACGGTTCACCTTCTCTCTAGTGTTGTATGTGTGTGTGTCGAGCTGAGAATCACAAACCACATTCCTGCAGTCATGAGGCCGGGCTGATCTGAGTCACACGCCTAAAGAGGGAGAAACAGAGTGAGAGAGAAGCAGGAAAGAAACTCATTTGAGTGTGAAAGTAACATACGCCACAGTCTGTCAGCACCGCGAGATATAGACTGATGCTTTCAAGGCAACTACCGTTTAAGTGGAAATGTTCCCTAGAAACAACGGTTACAACAGGACAGAGAGAGAGAAACGCAATCATCACAGCTTCGTAGACAAGATGGATTTCATCTGAAATACAGGTAGGATGTGTTTAGTCATGTAAAATATGGACTTCTTTTTTTTTTTACTTTGGTTGGTTTTTGTTTTGAGCTTTCACTGGCTCCGAGGTGAGTCACTGGAGGGAAATATGTAGGACATAGTGACTCGAAAGCCATTTATGCCCAATGATAACTTTGAACTGCCAAAATATTTGAACTTTTTGGAGATGAATTCATGTAAATATGGCATCCCTGCTCAACATGCAGGCTTCATTTTATGTTATGGACAAAAATAGTGCCAAATGTAGATTTGTCTTCAGGACTGGCTGGTAAAATACACAGGAAAAAGGTCAAATTTGCAAGTCAAAGTTATATTCAAGATGATCTTCACAAAGTAGGTTCAGCAGTGTGAGGAAGCGGACATGAAAACACATTAGATGCAATATCAAGATAACCGATCGTGAGTTGTTTTTTGTACGGATAAACTCAAGACAACTTCGCTGTTTCCTCTTCTTGCAGTGAAACTCTGTATATGCCGCAAACAACGCAGCCTTCTGCTTGGACATGTGTGAATAATATAATAAATGTTTGTTTCTTCTCGAGCAGGTGCAGTGTAAGCAGGCAGTGATGAATCGATCCAGAGTTGGTGTGACTTTTATTTACAGGAGAGGAAGTGAAAATGAAAGCAGATATAAGTAGAGAGTGGGTCTTAAAGATAGAGCCGAGAATGTGGTTAAGGAGACAAGCTGACATCATGACGGCAGCAATGAATTTTCACACTTCAGTGCTAAAATGTGGCTCTGTTACAGGAGGGCAGGCGAGAGTGCATGATGGGAAGAGACCTAGAGGGAGTTGGTTTTGTCTATGACAAGCATTTCTTTAGTTTTATCTGTTTCTTTTTTCTTTCTTACTCAGATGTTAGGCTGTTGACAGGACCAGAGGAAGTGTGCTGCGTAGGCTGTGCTGAGGAGAGTCCCTGTTCAGGTGCGTGGTGATACTTCTTATCCTCTGTGAACAGACCCAGCTACACTGTCAAGATACAATCTGACATTCTGGACATTTTGCTGTAAAGGTAATACAGATAATGGCAACTTTAACGCCTCATAAAAATGTAAATTCACTTAAGTCTACTCCTCTCAACTGAATCTATCCAGTAAGAGAATATTGGCCCCGTAATGTTATGCCTCTGCAAGCTGATAACACCATTACTTCGACATTGCAGCCCTGAAAGCAGAAGTAATCTGGTTTCCTCCCAAGTTTTGTGACTTTTTGCTTTTTTTTTTTAGCCACTTCAATTACATGAACATGTTTATCAGAGATAAAGGCTGTGGCTTATCTGAAGGGCTTTCTAGAGAGAGCTTACACTAGTCTGGCGTGAATGTTCTGCCTCTTCAACTGTGACATTATCTGTTAACGGTGGTTCCTAACCGTTTCCGTCTAATGTGTGCCCACAGCCCTGTCAGTACAACTTCATTGGCACCAGATGACATGTTTCTGATGTTCTTATGAATGGATTATAAATGGATGTTATTTAACGCTATTAGTTATATAAAAGTGGATATTGTCACAATTTTCATGCGATTGAATCATCTGTGTTTAGGTTGTTTGGGTCAAGTTTGCATTGGTACTATTTGGAGTAGCAGAAGCCTCGACCATTTATCAACCTTTTATTCATTGCTAAACGCTTTTTCATGACTTTTCCTGCCAATTATATTTGACAGTTTACTCACAACTTTGCTCAATATTTCAAATGTACATTCATAACTTTTAGCTGATTATTTCATCTGTTCAGTTAACATTACTTTTATAGTTAACCACTAACTATTTAACTGTTTATCCATTACCTTCAGCTAAAACTACCTTCAGCTAACACTTTCACTGGTTTATTCATTACTTTTATCTAACTGTTTATCTGTTTAATCTATTTCAACCAATTATCCATTACTGTTAGTTAATATTAACTATTTCAGCTGTATCTCTATTACTTTTAGCTAACTTTATCTATTTCATCTATTAGCTAACATTAAGTATTTCACTTGGTTATTCATTATGTTTAGTTGTTTATTTATTACCTTTAGCTAACTGTTCCAACTTTTGTGCAACTGCTTATCCATTGAATCTATTTCTATTGTTAATCAATCATTTTTTTGCTAACTATTTTAACCACTCCTCTCTCTTGCTAACTAGTCTGGTTATTATAAATCTACCAGTTAATTGAGCTTCACACATACCACCTAGCAACTGCAGACGAACCCCCTGGGTGTCCCCTGGTTGGGAATCATTAGGAAACATCTCAACATAAAAAAAAAATGTTTACCTCAGCTTTATTTTACATGATCTGTGTGACTTGTTGTCACACTTCCTCCAAATTCTTACACAATGGCTTTGCTCCCGAATAATCAGCATGTTTGTATCGCCTGTATCGCTCCTAATCACTTGAATAATGGCATTAATTCTTCGTATAATGTCCGTTTTTTTTCTGTATTTCTCACTCATCTTCAGGGCATAACCTCTTACACATTTATTTTCTTTAGGTTCTTTTGTGACTAATTTTTCTGATTGCAAAGTGATGCATGACTGCTGTCACATGGATCCTCTTCTGTTCTGACTTGAAGTTACCAAGCATGTTGAAATTATGAAAAGTTATTGTTCAGCCCACTTCCAAATTTTTTCCGACATTGGTTTTTACCTTTTATCAACATTTATTCTATTTCTGAAAGTTATTCTCAGGCGCTGTAATGTTATACATTTTTTCTCCTTCAGGATCTGTTGACCTCTGAAATGATGGCGGACAGAAATGGAGTTTGTCATGTGATGGAGAGTGAGGTGGATGCTCAGATCAGACAAACCCAAGCTCAGCCACAGGCCAACAACAACAGACCCAACTGGTCAAACGGTAATATCTTGTTTCTATGTGGTAAACTCTCACGCTCAGCGTTGTATTTATGACATGATCAAGATTACTTAACTGGGCTATAGTTTGCTTGAGCTTTTGAAGGTCAGTGCTAATACCAATACATATACCCTACATATTTTTGTATTAAAGGCACTTAAAGGGTATGCAGTCATATTCAAATGTTTGAGATTTTATTCTTGAAGTGAAAACAACCCCTGCAGCACATTATATAATGGGCCTTTTTAAATGTTAATGCACCGGTACTTTTCATTTTTATGAATTTTTGGTATTCCACTCTGTTGTTCTGTATTTTTTTACAAAGGTAGCTCTTTTGTTTTACACATTTCCTTGTGTTAACATCTTTCTTGCTGGTTGTTAATGACTACACTGCGTGACCTTTTACTGGTATTTGCATCTGCCTGTTGCCCTGTTGTCTGGCCTACATGGCTATTTGTTGTGCCAGTGCAAACAAACAACGAACACTTCTCATATCGGCTGGATGGCGAGATAGATTACTTGTTAAATTAACTTCTCTGCATCTTTCTAACTTACACGGTTTCAACCTGAATAAATTATTTTGGAATAATGTGCACCAGTCACACTCCTAGTCCCGCTAAAGCTTACCAGTGTTACAGTTGTGCTTTGATCACTTGGTTTCCTTTGCGTCATAACCTTTTACCCCGACTTGCTCGTTTAAGATTTATTTAACTTTGTGTCACTGAAGTATAACAGAGCAGGTCTCAGTGCTCTTATTTTAGATTGCCCCATGACCATCGTTACACTGTACTACTATACTCGCACAGCATTAGAGAAGCTTTATCACCATGTAGTCACTGAACGTCACGCTCACATGCTATAGATGCCAGTAAACAGACATAACACAGACATTCGACTTCTTGAACACACATTTCTCCCATTCGGTTTCCTCTAAAGCAGCTTTGAGGTTGAAAGAATCGTCTTTTTCCACACTGCAGGATCACATACTGTAGATAATCTGCATTAGCTTCAACTCTTCATTGAAGCTGGATGGTGTCTCCACTGGGTGAAACATTCAAACCCAAGAGTAGAAGACTAGAGGGCTGTACCATTTCATCAAATGGAAATATACTACATGAATTCTGCATCATTTTGTACACATCACCACTTACTGCAGCCTGAAATTCTTTTGGTAGTTTTGGGAACTTTTGCGACTTTTACAAGTGTTTGAATGATTTTTGAAGAAGAGAAGAGAAAGAATGAGTTTGGAATGTGTATACTGTGTTTTCATTATGCGTGTATCCATCATCTCCTTTCCGACAAGGGCTTTTTATTGGGCTCTCATTCTTGGCACGTGTCTATTTGCAGCATTTATGTAATGATCCTGTTGTGGACTGCTTTTTCCCTTTTTCTCTTTAACACACACTTGCTCATTCATTCTTAGGTCAGTGTGTTGTGTCAGTGCCGAGCTGTTCATCGTTGAACCCCTCTTTCGATCTGTCTCTGTGTCGTGCCAAACTGGAGAACGATGGCTTCCAGGTCAACAAACACGGATGACACAACAGTGACACAGCAAGATTCAGCTCATATTACCTCATCATATTACCTGAGGTTAATTTTAATTGTTAATTTGTTGTTGTTTTGTTTTTCTTTTTTTTTTTAATCCTGTTAGATTCCAATCTCAGACATGGAGGCTCCACTGAAGGCAGCTCTGGACGTCCCCTCAGTCAGGAGATACATGGTTTTTAACTCGGCTCTCTTCCATTTCATAATGGCACCGGTACGATCGTCCGGCTCTCTACCTGTCCGATCGTGTCAACTGTTGACGCTGACCATGTCTCTCTCTCTCTCCCTCCCCTTCCCCCTGCAGTTCTAACTCTCACTTTAAAAGGAGCACTTCAGTATTTTTAACATTATATTTTTTACATAAACTTGCAAGAGACAGTTAAAAAAAGAATACAGTGATATCTCAGTGATATCTTTCATCCTTTCACACTCTGTGCTTCCACTTTGTGACACAGACTTTGTGCTAAAGGTTTTTGAAGCTAAACCAATTTCAAGCTGAGAGCGCTCCGCAAGCTATTTCCTGCCTTCAGTCTTTATGCTAAACTAAGATAAGCTAAACTGGCTCCTGCACTACAGTTAATGAGATATATATATATATATATATATATATATATATATATATATATATATATATATAGGCTTTTTACTATCGTAGTTAATGTTTACAGCCTCTCCCCTCCTTCCACCAGGTGCTGTATGTGGTGGTGTGGTGTGCCGTGTTCTCCACCCTCCACCTCTACATCACCGTCAGTGACTACTGGGTCCTCTGTCTCTCTGTCAGCCTGGTCTCCATCTTCCTCACCACTGCCATCATCTTCATCCTCCACCACAGTAACAAGGAGGTAAATGGGATCTGGATTTTGAAATCAAATCAGAATAATTGCGTTCAATCTGAATCAGCAGCTGGAGAGATTCTTTAAAATCTCCTACAGGGGGGTTTCAGTGTTGATACAATTACAGTGTGAAATAACTGATCCTCTAACTTGTTTCTGTTTCAGATCAACATGAATTTAGACGTTCGGTTAATCCAGGTGAACGAGAGGATGGTGAAACACAAGCTGCTGGTTGCCGTGGCCGACTGGGTGCAGAACTGCACCGGAAACATGCAGGTTGTTCTTCTTAAATCAGCTGAAACTGTGAGAATATGATGCTCCACATGTGACAAAAGTGTACTAATTCTTTTGTGCAATACATTTATCTATGTTTCCTGTCATTGTATGCTGCTGAGGTTGACTACACAGCTGTTAGTGGTTGGTCTTACCTACTGTTGTGTCTTTTCTTAGTTTCGTCTTTTTGCAATGTACAATATAAAGAGGAAACAACAAGATGATTGTGCGAATTTTTTGACACATAGAAGATAGAAAGATAGAAATGATGAAACAACAAGATGAAAAGAAAAACAACATATCAGCAGGCATAACAACACTACAATGACGAAGCAAATACACACCAGCAGCTGCCTTTCCTTACAGCTGCACCATACATCAACTAGTCCACACGTGTTGTGCCTCACTTTGTGGACACGCTGCCGAAATGTATTCAGATATATCAGGTCTATCTTGTAAAACTTTGGAATAGGTTTATTTTATTTGACACAACAACTAGCTTTATGTTAGCATTAAACAAATGTTAGTGGTCTGGAACACTAGATTGAATTGAAATTGAGTAGTTTTACTTTGACAGTCTCTTAATACTGCCACATTCAACTCTGTGTCTCTGTAGTTGTACGTTGTATACTGGGACATGTCCCGCTGTCTGAGGGCACTGACTGAAACTTTAGAGGAGCACAGCTTTGTGGCGAACGACACCCAGGTGAGTGAGTCGAGTACATCTGTCGCTCGGTTTGTTCTCCTGCTGCTCTGTCGATTTTTTTCTCGTGCTCCCATGTTAGTCCTCCCTCGGAATCAATAGAAACATAATTCCGGGTGCTGTTGAAAGGATATTTATTTCTGGACTTTGGACAAACTGAAATGTAGCCTTTGAAGGAAAGCATCATATTTCACAGTTTTCATTCTTGCAGTGTGGAGTACGTTAAAGTGATCCAGTCAATGTCACACTTTCACCAGAGAAAACTGAGGAGGAAAATGTCCCACCTCGTCCTCGTGAGCGAGGTCACGGCTGCTGACCCTGAGGTCAGCGGTTCGGATGTGGAGCAGGACTTGGACGAACAGAGGCCTCTGCTCGGACACGAGGACACAGGCTGCCGTGCCTCATCCAGCCAGCGGGAGGACGCCAAAGTCACCACCAACTACAGCCTCATCCCTGACTTGTCGTTACCTCCTCAGGTAAGAGAAGACGAGCTTTCCTACTTATTAAGCAAGTTAAATCTTAAAGAGCCACCTAACAGCTGCTGCACATTTTGTTTTTGATGACATTCATCGCTTTTCTCATCTTGCTGCACTGATTTTCAGTCCGGTATTAAGTAACTCACCAAAACAAACCATTTCTAAGAGTATCTGAGATTATATTCAGGTAGCTTCAACACCACCAGCAATGAATTAAAGGTTCCACATGAGCAAACACTACTAATGTCTCCTTATACCCTTTTTTTTTTTTTTTTTTTTTGCAGGCTAAAGCCTACCAGCTTCTGATGACTTACAGTGCAGCCTATGTGAAGCTGCTGGTGTCTGAGAGGCTGTCAGGACCGTCACACCACCGTCTACGATCCCGGAGGAATCACTGCAACACCGCCCCTCTTTGCCTCTGCCAGTACATCAAAAAGAAGATCCTCCGATGACAGAGCCGACCAGTGACAAACTAGAAAAAAAACCTGCTACATGGAGCTGGTGGTCTGCTTTGCTTCCTGCCCAGACTCTTGAACAGACAAACTGACACGTGTGAGCATTTCCTCCAGAGCAAATATGGATTACAGACATTCTGATACAATGAAGGACCTGCTTGGAGCTTCGCACTCACGATTTTCTCTGTTTCAAAGTCTGTTTCTCTGGCCTGTGGGCTACCGTAGCTCTGCCGCTGTTTGCAATGCCAGCTCTGTGTTTGCACCACCTGGATATTTGTCCATTTGCACCCTGCCAAATGCTGTCACACTGAGAACACGAGTCCATCCAGCTGCTGTAAAACAATATTTGTACTCTTGTATACACGACAATCGAGGCACTAGTACTACTGTTTAAATTATTTTCACATATAATAAATAGATTCTTGTGATTTGCAATAGATTGTAAAATATTTGTCTTTTGTGACTGACTTGGAAGCAGTGGTGGAAAATAACTACAGTACATTTATCATCATATTTTATGAACTGATTGCAGAATCTAAATCTGAACTCTTCTTCACTGCTCGGAAGATTGACAAGTCATTTGTAGACAGAGACAGTTGAAGCAGGAAGAGAAAGAAAGAAAATCCCCTTGATGCAGGTGTGTAATGATGCTGAAACAGGGGCTTATCATGAATCATTGGCTTTAGTTTCCTCGCTCTATTATCTCAAATCTCAACAGCAGCACAAAGGAATCGTCTGTGTTTGTTTTTGCGATTTCACACCTTTGGTTTTCACGCGCGTAGGTGGATTAGTTATCCACGCATTTGTGTTTGCAGGAGGCTGGCTTTATTCCCTAGCTTTCGTCTAATATCACCAGCGATCATCCGTCAGTCCTGATGCTGCGGCTGAGATGACAGCCCAGCGAGGGAGCTGCAGGATGACACAAACACACACAGCGAGACAGCCAGCGTGGCCGACCCAGGGGAAGCTGCGACTGTGTGATGGAGGAGAGAGGCGTGCAGCGTGAGGCCAAGTTAAATGATCTCAGAGACGCTGGCTCTCCTCAGGAGGCTAAATGGCCATCTGTGATCCTGCACACAGGCTGGCGCCGCTCCCACCTTTAGCTTCTCCCTGCAACCTCTTTTCCATTGGCTTGATTGTCTGGGTTCCTACTTCACCTTTCAACCGATATTATCTAATTTATAATAACAATGCCAAAACAATGTGACAGTGACTGTGTTGAAATGCACAGTGGTATCCTGGTTTTGGCTTTTACATCTCATCACCGTTGATGGAAAACAAGCACGTTTCCTGATCTGCATTGCCAAGTCAGACTGTCCCTTTCAGCAAGTTAATCATCATCACGTCATTTACCATAATGTTTTCTTCTATTACTCTCAAGCTACAACATCTGAAACCTGGATTAAGTGTTCAAATGCCACAGTATCCAGGTCCAGCCAGCACAGACAGGATATGGTGTTTACATGTGCAACATTTAATTGGGATTCTCCAAAAACCTGATCATGACCAGGACACTCGTGCACATGTAAACGCACTCAATGGTAAAGGGTGTCTCTGGTTGTGATGAACCTACAGAGAATTGTCTCCTGAACCCGCAGCTAGCTAGCGATTTATAAAGTGATGCTTTGAGCTAACGTCAGATTGCTAACATACTCACAATGACATCAGGGATTGGGCAACATCACAAAATTTGGTTTCCAATCCGACACCCAAGTAGGATCAGGATCACTGATAACAATACCGATACCAAGACCTTTTATTGTTAAAAGCAGCTAATGTACTATCACGTAGAGCGGAATATGACATTATCTATGAGGTGAATGCATTATTAATGGGCTACATCGCAATATATTTTAACTACCACCAAATCATTTGCTGAACATGAGGCTTTTTCTTATTGTTCTCTGTAATTACTTACAGAACCATATGCACAACACAAGACAGTTTTCAATGGCAGATGTCAAATGTTAATTCTTTAGAAGAGATAATATTACCTCCTTGGCACAAACGTATGCTGATACATGAGAGGCACAAACTGGGGCTAGACATCACCAAAGGTAGGGTTCATCCTCTGCAGATTATGAATGTCTGCACAAAATATGGCAATACATACAATAGCTATTGAAATATTTCTGTCTGGACCAAAGTGGTGAACTAACAAGGCTAAAAAGACATAGGAAGAGACATTTTAATGATGTGGTGCAAAAAATGTAAGCTTAAATTTGGGTTTATATATTATAAGCTGCCTGGTTGGGAATCATTTTTAATTGGCGCAGATGATGCATGGAAACAATTCTCACCATAATGTGTGATTTGTAATAATGTTAAACACAAACCTGCAAGACCTCCTGTGATTAAACACAACACAGAGAGAGATACTGTAGTTCATGTTCTGACAGAGAGGAAAAAGAGAGACAGAGTGGGAGAAAACCGGGGCAACTATAAATAGCACCTCAGTGATGAGGGGAGAGAGGAGAGGCCACAGAGAGACTGAGAGGATGGAGAGAAACTGAGAGGTGAAAAACAGATCCGAAGAATGAGACGCCGCCTTCACCATCATGTCGTTCACAACCCAAAATGATTCTTTATTCATTACTCAAACAACTGAAGTCAGAAACAACCAATGCATGTGCAACACAGCCATGAACATAATTAGAATAATAAACCTCAAGAGAACCACATGTACACAGGTAAGTTTTGGCTCTTTGAACAAGCAACCCGTCGCAATTACTGTACAAGCTCAAAAAACAAAACAACACAAAAAAAAAGAAAAAAAAAGAAAAAGAAAATGAGGAACACACCTCCCAGCTGTGTATTAAACAGCTGCAGTTCTTGTTGCTGAGCACATAGGAGTCCTATCAGAAAGCACACAGGGAGATGCAGCCTAGCGCCAAATAAACTAGATATGCTGGGAGTGACTCTATTCAATAGATACGCACTCACTGCCAGAGCCTTCTGTACACTAATAATACTAAACAGCACTGTGCCTCATTTACTTGTCAAACACTCAAATATCAACAAGTCTATCATATAAGGACGGGGCCTGTATTTATCAAACTGCTAAATGTGACATTTTTGGGCTTAATGTGCAAGATAAAAGTAAAAATCCTTCACTTTTACTCCTGCTCAAGAAAATAAATAGAAATATGCTAATTTGCTTTCTTGCCCAGAGATAGATAAACATCGTGATACCACGCTCATGTCTCTACAGTAAATATGAAGCTATTAGCTTCTTAGCTTAGCCACAAGTGAAACAGCTGCACTGATTCTGTCCAAAACTGCCTACTAGCATCTCGAAGGCTCACCAATTCATTTATACATAGACAGAATATACAGTATCTACATTTCAAATCCGCACAAAGACAGAAATGTAAACACAACTATTAAGAGGTTCTGACGGGCTAGCCTTTGAACAGGGCCAGGCTAGCTGTTTCCAGTCATTGTGCTAAGATAAACTGACTTGCTGCTAGCTGTAGCTTCATGTTAAACAGTGTCAATCTTCTCATCTAACTCTCTGCAAGAAAGTAAATAAGTGTATTTCTCAAAATGTCAAACTACTGCTTCAATAATAAAATCTATCTCGCAAACTGATTTTCACTTCTAAATAGGTGGTTCTTAACTAACGTGTAGTTATTCTAAACCTCTACAGACGTTAACACATCCTAGATGTCTGGCAATAGAAAATAATTTGGAATGGGGTGGTCTTAGTCTTTTTGCAGTTGCTTCCTCCTGTCTCCAGTTTGGTTTATTTCATCACTATTCATTTAGTATAAATATTTAGATTGTCATTACTTCACGTGGTAATTGCTACTGGAGACTTCACACAAATAAAATGAAATAAAAAGAGAAAAAAGAGTATTTGTACGTATAATTCTTAGAAGTTTGATAAATACAAACCCAGATGTGTTCAACGTACTCAATATTATACATCAATAATTTACGATGTAATAATAATAATAATACTAGTAGATATTTGTTAAAGAAATAAAGTACGGCATAAACTGTATTTATACTGTCTCTATTTGTGTTCATTGTCAACAAACATAATTTTTAATATATCTATATAATCTTTTAAAAATAGCATTATCATAGGGACCAACAGAGGAAAGGGGGGAGAAGAAGAGATATGTTGATAGGTCCAATAACTCATGTGGACAGGAGAAAGACAGAAAGAGAGAGAGAGGGAACCAGAGGAAAGATTTCATAGAGCAGAAAGTGCTACAATACAATATAGGCATTAGTAGTTTCTCTCTCTCCTAACGGAGACATTCATTTCCTGTAACTCCTGAAAACTCACAAAATGGTTCATACTGCAACGTTACAGCCATGTTGGCTCTTACAAACATCTGCACACCTGCTGCTCAGAGCTACGATACATTATAGAAACTGTACTCATAACGGGGGGTGGGTGTGGGTGGGGGGGAACCCAACTCGCTGCAGAACAACAGTGAAACAACGTTACAGGAGCTCACAGCTGCACATCTAGCCTCAATATTTAAGACAAAATGGAAACAAACTGAGAATGACATGCAGGGTTATGTTGCCTCATAAGTCTAAGGTTGCACTAAAGTTTCATATACAGTGTCTGAGATTAAATAGCTAAGAGATGCGCAACACAAAATAGGCCAATACACTAAAATACAACCCAAGATTCAAGTACTTATCATCTAAATTGTCTCCTTTTCTTGTTTTGACAGTTCAACATTTTGAAAAATACTGTACCACACACTAATAGAAATTTTAGGAAATACTCCCCCCAACAACTGGGAGACAAGCTTTTTTTTTTTTTTTGCACTAAAAGCCCATTAGCCTAAATTTATATTAACCATGCACTATAAGAGCTATGAATCTAAGCAGCTGCGTCACCTCATCTGGTTACTACAAAGTGCAATATCATTATCATCGTCATGAGATATCAAATTTAAGCCAATTCAAAGTGTCAGATAGCTGCAAATAAACCAGTGATATACTATAAATTAAAGCAGACAAAGTCAATGCATGGGTAGATATTGAATAAATTAATAAATAACAGATTTTAAATAAATTAACAAACATATAATTCATAAGTTATGTATCACATCGTCCAGCTAAAATGTCCATGTAACACGCAAACAACCAGGCTCAAATAAATACTCTGTTTGGTTAGCAAGTCACTTTGTAAGTCCAGTCTCCATTTGGTGTGTTAAATGTGTATTGATCACCCCCTCTAACACTGTGTATCAGCAATAATACTACTCTGTAAATCAACACTGGTTCAACATGGCACTTTTTTTTTTTTTTATATTAAGTTTTTAAAGAAGAGAACACATGTATGCTTGTACCTGTAAGACTAAAAATGTGCATTGAACTATCCTAAAGGAAGCTCTTTGAATGTGATGTCTTCAACTGCAGATACTGTGAGGGCCCATTTCGTATGTTGGAGCATTTAAAACGGAAACACACAGTGACCTATCCTCTCATCTAACTACATCAGTGAAGGCCGTATGAATTAATCAGCGTCAAATGAATTGTTAATGCGAGGAGCTTTGTTTCCCTCCTGCAGCTCGTATCTGTGTGTAAATATTAAGCGGTCGCTGTGCTAACAGCAATACTGGGTCTCATTTGACAGCTGCTTGTATTTGGCATTTGAATGTTAGCTGTGATTGGTTGTTTTTGGTCGTCGGTGTGTGTTTGATGGCAGCAGGTTAGGTTGTGTGTGTGTGTGTGTGTTTGTGTGTGTGTGTGTGTGTGTGTGTGTGTGTGTGTGTGTGTAGCTGTACACAGAGTGCCAGCAAGCAGTAGCAGTTTGAGTGCACTTTCAGAGCTTCCCTCCAAACAATTATAAGAGTAGTTAGCTTGCTAAAATATGCCATGATTTCCCATCTGCGTGGAGTTACGGCTCCCAGTCGTCGTCGTGGTGCTGCGAGGCGATGATGACCACCACGGTGAGGATGGTGCACAGCACAATGGAGGCGATGCCAACAGCCAGGCTGATGAAGGAGAAGTTGCGCGCCTCGCGGGAGGCTATTTCCGCCGTCACCATGTCCCCTCTGGCTATCGCCGTACGCACCTAAGTGATGCCGGAATCAGGGGGGGGAAGAAGGGGATGGGTGTGTGGGGGGGGGTAGAGGAGAAATTAAAATAGGTGTTATGTAACAAGAAGATGCATGAGTGGGAGCAGGAGAGAGTCTAAAAACACCACGGATGGATCGATTTCGCTGCAGCAGAGCCTGAATGTGCAGAAAGAGGCCACACCACAAAACATTAACACACCATAACAACATATACAACTCAGACCGGTGGGTCCACGCCCTGTCAGCTCGGCTCAACTCAAAGCCGGCTGAGCAGGCCCAGAGGAAAAAATCCATTCTGTCCCGTTGCACCGACAATGGCGCAGTTACGTAACGTGGTCTGTCGTGTGCATGTTGGTCAGCACAGCCTGTCATTACAGAGGTAAAGAAAACAGGCACAACATGAAGCATGAGAGCCAGCAGACTGAGCCTTTACATTTCTAACATCACGCTCAACTTAACTTGTATGTTAACGGCATCAATGAACGGCTTGTAAAAAAGAGCAAACTCTGTCTTTTCATGCAGAGGTCATATAGACGACATAGCTGAGAGTGTGTGTAATGATGGTGCAGCTGTGTATTACACTGAACTACATCGGTTCTTTCTGCATGTGTAATCTAAACCCTGACACTCGCAGCGGCACTTTCCTCCTGCTGTTGACCGTTTTCCCTGATTCCGCGTAATTTAAAAGTATTGAAAATATTGGCTGGTGTCAGTTCAGTCAGAGTTCATTCACAGTTCATTTACAGTTTGAAGTTTGATTTGGGGGAGTTTTTTTTCTTTCTGTGTTTCAACCATGCACAAACAATTAATTCAGTTACTTCACTTATTCTGGAGTCCAGGTTGACAGGAAGAAAGAGATGCAAAACAGCCTGTCACATCCTGTTTCCAAACAATCGCATTATTCAAACGCATCTAAAACGTCTGTGGGTTTGTTTACGAGAGCGAACATCTCTGCTGCGTCTCTTAACGGACGTTTTTATTATCAAAATGACAACAATCTCTGTAACGAAGGTTTCACTAATTTACCTGACGTCCATCATTTATTCAGATTTAGTGCATTTCACAAGATTGTCAAGTATTGTCTCAGTTAGGAAAGCCGACCAGGGGCACCGGCAGAGTGGCAGAGCTATGTGTTGCTGTTCACGTGGCCACGAGAAAAAACGTGTTTTAGACACTTTTACAAACACCCGCCGAAACAACCTAATATCTGTTGAAATGTACGCCTTATGTAGTATATTTTCAGTGGTTCATCTCCCCATGCAAAAAGCACTTTCATCTGACACTACAACAGTTGAACTACCGTATTCCTACGAATAACCGCAACTACAGAGAGCACTGTGTTAGGCCGCAGCCGCAGGTCAGCTGAGTGAAAGTGTCAAAAAACCCAAACTATCCCTTTAATGTTGCATTAGTAAATAAAATAACAAGTAATTACAAGACTGAAGCGGGAGTTATGTTTCTCTTGGCTGCACGTAGACAAACGTGCACGAGGGTCGCTTGGATATGTTTGTGTGGCTGTTTATCTAGTACGTTGTACATTTACGTTTGTTTTCGCTTCTGTTTCAGGCGTTTCTGACGCCCAACAGAAGCTTAATCAGTCAATCAATTTACTTCATGTGCAGGTCTGCGCAAAACAAAGCTAAGATTCATCCTGAGGGGAACATGAATGGCTGCTCCACATTTTGAGGCACTTAACCCAACAGCTGTTGAGAGATTTCAGTCAACAAAGTAACAGAAATGTGAACGGTGACGCTGAGGGAAAAGTCAGTGGATAGTCAAAGTCAGTACGAATCATCCTCTGGGGACCATGAATGGCTCTGTACAAAATATCATGGCGATCACTCCAACAATTGTTGAGATATTTCAGTCTGTAAGTGGCGGACCAAACAACAAAGCCATACCTGAGGCCTTTGTGCTTGTGTGGTTGAAGACAAAAAGACTATAGCTTTAGATTTATAGCATCTTACTTTTCCGCATTCTTATCATTCTAAAGGGAGAGTGTATTTCCGAAGATAAACTGATGTGTAAAATGACTTCAAGATGCATTTATACCACAAAGTCTGTGGTAAAGGCGACATTATGTTAATAAAACCCAAAGATCAAAAAGATACTGTGAAGCAGCATTAACCTGCACTGCTTTGATGATGGCAATGATGCCTGTCGGCCAGAAGCAGCAGACGGTGGTGAGCACGGCAATGGGCAGGTAGTCGTGTGGTGGCCGACGGTCCATTAGGGTGATGCTGGGTGGCATTTGCATGGGATGAATCTGGCCCGGGGGGATTCCTGGGTGGGCTCCTCCAGCCGGCATGTAGGGCTGACCCTGAACAGAGGGAGAGAGAGAGAGAGAGAAAGAAGAAGAAGAAAGAAGAAAGAAGAAGAAGAAAGAAGAAAGAAGAAGACAGAGTGAGTACATGTGCTTTTTAAAAGAGCAGAGCGGCTTACAAAACACGTTGCCCTCAAAAGACACAAGAACAAGGTGACATGAGCAAAGAGGACGGTGGTAAAAGCGAGGCAGAGGGAGGGAAACAGCGCCTGTTAGGATTACTCATATCAGACAGGGAGCAATGGGAAACAAGATCTCATTTGCATTTTTGACAGCAGTCTGTCAAACTCATTTAGATGTTTTTTTTGTTTTTTTTTTTCTTTACAGTAGACGTCAGAGGCAAGTTAATCACAGTGCAGCGCCAACTGAACATTTTTCACCAGCTTCGCTCTCTTACACACCACCTGCAGAGCTCAGACGTGACCGCGTCTGATGTTGTGGAAGTGTCTCCCGGTGTGCTCGCATCCCCTGGCTGTGTACTGTTGGCTGCGAGGCTAGAGAAGAGAGATCAGAGCGCACTGTTGCTTTAGGCTTTAGTCCGTGAGCGCCGTGTCCGGAAATGCGTGAAGCTGTGATTCATTTGTGAAGAGTCTGAAAGACGAAAACGTGACGCTACAGGGCAGGTTTTTTTTTTTTACTCTTGACGACATTTTACATGCGTTCTTACCCACAATCCTGTGAGAATGTATGTGCATGAACAAAAAAAAATCATGTGAATATTCATTTTATTAAAAGAGACTGATGTTTGGTGTTATGGTAACGAAGATTAACCGCCAGCTCTGATCTTCAAAAAAAAAAAAATGAGGACATGTGGTGGTGGGACCTGTGGCAGCACAAAAGCAGCGACACTCTCAGTTATTTGATGACTCATGTTTGCTTTGTGGTTTTTATTTCAGGGTATAGTGTGAATGGTTTTATCTATTAATATGTAAACACATGCGTCTAAAATTCAAAAACGGGGATTTTGTACTAAATGAATGAATAAATAAAGGCTCCAAATGAGAAACTATTAATGATCTTGTGGATTGGTTCACAACCTGCAAAAGCAAAACCTTCTTTCTGCCCGTTTCTAAATTATTGTTCTGGGAATTTTGTGCCTTTGATAGATGGGAAATAGAGGAGAGATGAGAGGAAATGAGAAGAGAGGGAATGACATGAAACAATTGTGTAGGAATTGTGTAGTTTGTGGTCGGTGCCTTATTCCCAAACTAATTTTAATAGTTTGTGGTCCAGGAGAGGTAAAACTTGACAATAGAAAAGCAAAGATTTGAGAAGAGTAAAAATAAAAAACACTATTTTGTGTAGCAGAGGTGTTTTTTTTCTTCTTAATCATCTCACATCCAGCTCAGATCTATCATGTGACCTTTCGGGATGTCCTGTCCTCCAGAAACTACTAGAGGACAATGACTCTACTTATTAAATCTTATAAAAAATAATTGACGCCATTTCATCTGCCAGACGTTAAGTTCCAGTAAGCAAATGCCATTTCTGTCATATTCTGTTTTTTGTCTCCGTCTAATTTAAAGCACTTTGAATTACCCTGAGGATAAAATGTGTTAAGTTTGCTTTACACATTAGTTTCCAACAGCCAGAAAACTACATACACAATGAAGCAAAGCAGAAAAAAAGCCTGGAGTTCAGACACATGTTGTAATGCAACGCACATGCACTTTTCATAAAAGCTAATCTATGGGCAAGAAATGCAATTTATATATTATTGTATATCATTACATAATATGTGGAATTAGTCTATTCAGTGAATATTCTACTTCTACTCTTATTCATCTCTCTGTCCGAACAACAATCACCAAACATGTGAATAAAGCCACGTCAACCAAGATGTTACATGTTTCAAACATTGCTGCAAACATTTCCTCTGGAAGCTCTAGAAGATAAAAGCGTGACGCTACTTCAACAAATGAATATTTTAGAAGAAATAAAACAGAGGTTGATATCAATAAAGGGAATGAATTAAAAATGTATGGTTTTGTAATTCTTATAATTTTCTAATACTTTCCAAAGTAGTTTCCAGGACAAAAAATACATCATTTTGTATGAGTCATAGGGAAATTAGAGACATTGTTTCTTTAGTGTCTTTCCAAGACACTTTCTAGTAATAATTATTTTCTAATTATTTAGAAACCTTAGAGGTAAATTAAAGTTTTACCCAAATTAATTTTCAGCCATCAAGTATGTAAATGTGAAGGATGAAAACATGAGAGTGATTATCTGTGATATGAAATGTACAGTGTGCTGAATTTTGAACAGAGACTGGTGTAATCCTGCAGCAGCCTGATGTCACACCTGCGAAATCTTTAAAAAGTGTCGTCTCTGACTCACCGATGCCATGGGGTACACGGGTACGTAAGCCGTGCATGGCTGCAGCTGAAGCGGGTAGCCCGGGTGGAGGTATCCTACAGGGGGGTGAGGCATGGTGCCTCCGGGACCCTGGGTCTGGACGGTGTATCCCTGCGGGGCCCCGGGAGGTCCCAACGGGCCGCAGTGGAACTGGGTTTCTTGGAGGTAACCCTCTGAGCCCGGTGGAGGAGGCGGGGGAGGGTAGCTGGGCTGGGTGCCCGGCGCAGGAGCCATGTTGGGGTGTTGGGGTATGTTGGGGTCTTGCGGGCCAGGGAGGTACGGGGGAGGCTGCATGGTCTGACGGCCAGAGTCATCGAGACCTGAGAGATGAAGAGGAAGAAGAAGAGGAAGACGAAAGCAGGTAGGAGAGGAATCAGAAATAGAAAGAGTAGAGTTAGAAGAGTTGAGGACAGAGATGTACGAGTGGGGGCATGTTATCTAACTCAGACATGGCTATGTTGAATGTAATATGTCTTATCTCAGTGTTGAGGAGGGGATTACACAATTACACAGACAACAGCTCCTCAGTAAGACTTCAGAGAGCATACACACACACAAAAAAAAAAAAGAAAACGCCTGATATTTTCCAACCTGTGCAGGTTGTGTGCTAATGATGACAGTGATTGACATTTTCACCCCAGAAGAAGAAAAAGGCCTTTTTTTCTGTCTCTCTTCAAAACAATGTTTATCATCAGTTAGAAATGTGGCATTTCTGAGATGGAGAGCTTCATCTGAAGGTCTGAACTGAAGCAGCCGTCGGCTTTTGGGGCGTCTGAACATTTTCCGCTCACACTCGCGCTCCCTTTGTGTTTGTTCAACATTGAAAATGACTGATAGGGTGTCGTGTTTTCACGGCAGGGACGTGGCTGAGGGTGCGGTAATCCATTCTGACAGGGACATGAGGAGGGAGGACGGGGACAGAGAGAGAGAGAGAGAGAGAGAGAGAGAGAGATGGAGATAGATGGAGGTGAGGATGAAACAAGAGAGGAAGAAGGAGAGCAGGAGGCAGTCAGAGAGCAGAGCGGCTGAATGATGAGGGTTGACGACTTGTGCTCGGGGACCGGCTTTACGTAACAGTCCCCAACTCTGTCACAAGCAGGAACTGGACCAGAAACAGACAGAGGGGAAAGGAAGCGAGCATGAGGGAGGGGACACCTTTAAAAGGTCGTAATAAGACGTGACGAGTAGCTCAGCAAACATGACACAAAATATACATGCGAGTGAGCTGGTGGCATACTTTATATTTACTGGTTTTTCATTCAACGTCGGATGAAAATGATGAAAATGGTCAAATACAGGGTGAAACGGAAGAAAGAAAATGTAGTTTGGAGGATTTTCAGTTGAGTCTCGATGAAAAATCTGGGAACATGAGATATTCAGAAGTCCAAAACGTTGGCATTAAACAGCAACTGGTAACACAGGAGTTATTTCCAGCAAAAAAAAAAAAAAATGCACGAAAATTCACAAAACCGTGAGCTGAGTGAAGTGGTTACCCGGGGGTTAGGAACCGTCTCAGCGGCTGCAAAAATGAGTCTAAAAAAAAAAAAGCTAAATCTTAAGCATCTATAAACAAAAGGTTGTGACTGAAACCACTTCACTGAGCTCTGTTTTGTGAGTTTTCTTGCTTTTTTTCTGCAGCTGATTCACAAAGCGTTGCTGAAACGACACTGAACTGGAAATCCATCCATCCATCCATCCATCCATCCATCCATCCATCCCTCCCTCCCGTTTTCTTTCCTCTGTTTCGCCCGTAGCTTTGCTGTTTCTCAGTTCCACCGTCAAGTGTGAACAAGAATGAATCTCAAATCTAGAGGTGGTGCCGAGACGACTGAGGAGATAGGAAAGAAAAACGTCTCCCCTCCTCTCAGGTTTATTTTTATTCTTGTGAATTATTGAATAATTTTTTATCTCATCAGGCCTCTGAAAAAGATTCAAATCAAACAGGGATGTGTGTAACCGCTGATGAGGGGTCACGAATAGACGTGTCTTTGTTTAAACCGGTTTACAAGCCTGAATCTGGATGAGCACAGGAAAATAGATGATTTAATCACTAGTCATTATTTTGGAACTCCCTTCATAATACAGTAGATGTCAGGTCTCATTAATTAGTGTTATAATTGACAAATGTATATTGTATTAGCAATGTAATATGTTGCAGCTCCTTTTCTATCAAATTAGTTTCTTTTGCTCGTTGTATTTATGTTTTTTAAGTTCAAAACCAGCTCATTTTAAATTAAATTATACTGAGCTGAACATTTAATAACAATTTTGGACTAATACTCACAACTGATCCAGTTCTAGACATAATGTTTATTGCTAATTACAAATTATTGATCAGTAGTTTAAAATCTATCATTTAGTTGTCACTATTCCCCTGTCTATGGTTTCTATTCCTAACAGCAACACCTTCATAGTTTGATTTCAAATCAAGATATCAACATTCATGACAATAATTTTAAAACTGTTCATTTAAAAATAACGGCACCGTTAACAAATAAAAACTAATGTGTGTGTCTGTGCTAAATGGGAAGCGTGATGTCACTGTTCTCGTGAATGGAATAAGATTAATGACTGCTCCAGTGATGCAGCTTCCACAACACTATAGCAACTACATGTAATATTAATGTAATTAGTTATTAGATGTTACAAGTCAATTTTATTCATACATTTGTTTTTATCCTCACAGGTCCATTGTGTCAGCAGTGAAGAACAGAATATATCAACTTCATTGATTACATAATATGGATAATGGATAATGCGTTTGTTACAAATGTTTGTATAAATAATATTTTAGATATCAGCAGCTGGCAGATCAGTTACAGTGACAAAATGATACTGGAGCCTCTTTTAGTAGATACAAGGAGATAGTAAAAACAAATACAGCTTCTTTTTTCTCTCTCACCACCTGCTTTCAGGTGGGTCTGCAGGTGTAAATGAATCTCTCATCTTCAAATCTTCAGATCAATTCACAACTCTGAGCTTCACATGTGCCAAAATAATCCCTGCTCAGTGTCAGATCATGTGATGTGTACAGTAGCACAGTAGCATCCAGGCTCTGTTTCAACTGAAGGGAAACAACACAAAGACATCACAGGAGTAGCTGCAGCTGTTTTTACAGTTAGCTTTCAGTGTCATTATCAGCTTTGTTATTCCTTTATTCTGCTGTTTGTTCTACTCTCGCTGTTTGAGCTCCATCAGAAGCAGTTGGTGCTTCAACGTCATGAAATAAGACAAAAAAAAAAGGAAACTGGGAAGATGAGACAAAAAAATGGCTGTAATATGCACCAGACGTTGAGGATTATTGTTAAAGGCTGTTAAACACGCGCAAGGGATGGCGTGCACGCGCAAAGGACACCCACACTAATGTCCATAGTCAGGAGAGATGTACGTGGGCCCGTGCGTAATGATGATTATTGTGAGACACAGAGAAAAAAAACAAAAAACTATATAATAAATTGTGAAATTGCCTGTTTATATAATTATCAGTGGAAGTCTTTCGCGTTTTATGGAGAAAATATATCAAATACAAACAAAATACACAACTTGAGATAAAAATGTAATCACGTCAAGTCTGATAATGCGACTTTAAACTCTCTATTGGGCGCCATGGACATACTATGAGGCCCTATGGTTATTTTTTTTTTTCTCCCCCCCCCCCCCCAGGCTGCGCCCACACAGCGGTGCATCATCCTATAGACACAGCGCTGTGCAGACAAACAGCGGATTGGAAACAAGAGAGGGGGAGCTGGGGGGAAAAAAAAAAATGTAGATGACACACAAAAAGACCTGACATGTATCGAGCAGGCGACACAAAGACAGAAATAACATATGTCCTCACCTCGGAAGTGGCTCAATCAAGCTGCCAATTAGGCTTCAAAATACGCCACAGTGTAAGACAATTCAAACACTCACCGTGTTTTTCCGACGACATCCCTTCTTCCGATCTTCTGTCCTCCTCCTCGGATCGGATGTATTATTTATTTTTTTTTTTTTACTCCAGCTGCTGGTGAACAATCCCTCCTTTTCGTGCGCGGTGATGCAGACTTTTATTCCAAACGTGTGCAGCCCATCCTCAAGATGCCTTCATCTTTAAAAGAAAAAAAAAAAAAAAAAAAAAAAAAAAAACCCCCGGTTTAAAAAAAAAAAAAAAAAAATGAACCCCCGGTTTAATCATAAAAAAAAAAAAAAAGACAACTTCAGGTGTTTTAAAGTAAAATCCAGTTCTTCTCCAGCGCACTGGTCTGCTCAGTATCTCTCCTCTCTCTCTCGACTGTGTATGTGTATGTGTGTGTGTATGTGTGTGTGTGTGTGTGTGTGTGTGTGTGTGGCTGGTTGTCTAATAAGGTTTCTCCACTAACGCGTCGCCGTACATTGAATTAATCAGACACAAAGCCATCGTTGTCTTAAAGCGACAGCCCGGACTGGGGAAAAAAAAAAAAAAAAAACCGCACAGGCACTGAGCCGGAACGTCCCATTACTGAACCAACAGAGAGCCTGCCTCTGAATTAGATGGATTTCTTTCCTTGCGTGACATGTCACCACCTCAGTTTTTCCTCTCACGCATGTTGTCCTCAAATGATGCTCCTAGCAGAATTTTTTTTTTTTCTTTCTTTCTTGCAAAAGCAAAGCCAGGAGAAGAGAGCAGTGATGATGAGGCATGCAACCAAACGTTTCCCTTTATGTCTTATAGTTTGTACAAATTTCTCAGGAAATAAAAGACATCATATCACATTTCTTTTTGGATACAGATTTTTATTACTGTACAATAAATTACAATCCAGATTTCATGTTCATTCCCTGTCTGTACTTTGGTCTTTTGGTTAAAATCATTCCCTTCTTCATGGTCAGGAACTGTCATGTAAACATCAACATGTTTTGTAGGCACATACAGCACTTGTAAGCAGGAACATGTTAACTCGCACCATCTCTTTACCTCCCCCATACACCTCTATCTTTCTCGCACCTTTCACACAAAGGAAACGCTCGGCTGCAGGCACCTCGGCATGCTCTCACACTCGTCCTCATCCTCACCCTCCCTTGCCTGTCTTCATCCCATCTCAGTGGGTGTAGAGAGAGGCGGTGAAGACGATGTCCCTGCGGATGGCCAGGGAGGCCCTCTCCATCTTGCTCCCCAGGACGGAGTCGCCCACAATGCGGGCGGCCTGTCGCACCTCCTTCAGCACCTCGTCCAGGCGCTGGATGCAGCGGACCACCGTGCCCTCCTGGACGTCTGTGAGCAGGGCGATCTCTGCGAACGGCTGGCGATGGGACAGCAGGAGCAGAGGAAGGGAAGAAAGTGACACGGTGAGATGGTGTGTGCGCGATGCAACACAAGTGGGGAGGAGATGTTCAAGTAGCACACAACCAGGAGGAAATATGAATTCTGTTGGAGAGATCTTGGGATGATTAACAGGATGTAGAAAAAAAGACAAAATGTGCTCCTGCTACACAAAACAACCGGTCTCATGCCAGAACCAGTTGTTCAATTTGTTCTTAAGTGGCATGAACAAGTAATTTAAGAGAATTTATGGCACTCAGCAATTTTGTTTTACTCTGAATTTTCTCTGAGGTACAAGAGGGTCGGTCCAAACACTTGTTTGATTCGAGAATTGTAATGCCTCAATCTGAATGACGTATTACACCAAAGTCAGCCAAAATGATTTTATACTTAACACGGACTTAATGTTAAATGAATGTGCTGTTCATCATATTGTCATCAGCGCTGCTGTGCTTACCAAATTATGAGAGTTTATGGTTTCTATTTGCACATTTCAGTGACTGTTGGGAAAATTCTCTCACTCCATCAGCTCTCAGCTCAACAGTCTTTCTGCAGGTCGCCGTCCGGTATCATCCTCTGTTAAACTGTAACACCTGAGTGTGACATCGCCGACTGAGGGCTGTAATATTCTCTAGTCTAATGTGACCGTCTCTCATACTAGTCACGAACCACTTCAGAAAGATGCTTTTCAGCCTCTAGCTTCATGTCAGGACACTCTTTATGTCTGTCACAGCACAGTGCTGCTCTGAAAACACGTCACTGAAAGATATATTATTAACATTGTCTAATTTTTCCAGGTCGTCTAACACAGCTACTGACTGTGTTTAACTTATTCTTTTTGTCTGCTCATCTGCGAGAGCACGATTTGAAGCTCTGCAGGGTTTTACTCTTTCAGTCAAATTTAAGTGAATGAAACCAGCACAGAAACAGAACAGGAAGCTGAATGTGGCGGTTTTATTACTGTCGTAAAAATGGTAATGATGAAATCTCCCGAGCATGCACATCCTGATAAACAGTGCCATCAGTGTCATGTCACATGTTTGTCCAGTTCAGAGTTTGGTGAACTTAGGTTTAAGATAAGAATATGAAAAAAAATACTTGAATCATTTAATCATTTAAAAAATTTTTCCAGGTAAAAAAAAAGTCAAAAATGAAGTTTCCAGCCTCTTAAATGTGAATATTTGCTGGTTTCCCTCTGTGATAGTAAACTGAATATCTTTGGGGTTTGAACTGTTGGTTTAATAAACCCATTTAAATATGTCAACATGAGCTTTGGGAAATTATGGGAAATGTTTTTCTGATATTTTATCAACCAAACAATTAGACAATCAATCATTAGTTTCAGTCTTAATATTAAAAAAAATATCTTTTGCATTTAAATCTGGTACTTTATTAATAAGCTTTTCTGTTATGTGGATTCTGCCTGCATCGTTACAGGATCTGAATCTATGAGCAGAGCTGGACCCGAACAGACATGGTGTGTCCAAGCTCAAGAGAAGCGTGGCTCCCCATGTTCATCTTGCCGAGGAAGGGGTTAATAAAATATAAAATATTCCGATAAAATATCCACACACAGTTTGCATGATCACACCAGGTGTAAATGGGGGTCAAAATCAAATACAACAAAGGGTTAAACCTCACCATGCCTCTGGCCCAGCAGTACACCACCTCTGTGAGACCAAACTTAAACTGGCCTACAAACTCCTCAGCCGTCTGTGGTATCCCACAATCCCTCTGCAGCTCTCCGATTCGCTGGGCCACTGTCAGCACCCGATCGATGCCCTGAAAGACAAAAAAAGAGAGAGAGATATAGAGAGAGAGAGAGAGGGAGAAGGGGGAACAGGTGGGAAAGAGTAAGTTACGCCTGAAAGACAGAGATTTTACTTTTACAAGCCGCCCTCAAATGCGTCACTCTGGCCTCTTAGTGTTAACAAGATGACCTTGTCATTTACGCTCAGAAAATCTGTTTCACAAATCGTGCCAGGATGTGTCTGCTCTTCTAGAACGGCAGGTCTTAGGACACAACCTGGGTCATCACTAATTTAAGCCCTCATAAAGCACTTTCGTGTATCAGGGCCGGTTCAAACACACACTGACACAGCGAAGGCGTATTCGTCAGAGACAGACCACACGAGTGAATTAATAAGTGAGCAAGTGACTGGGATGAGTTAGGTGAAGTGCCCTTGTTGTCCTTTCTGCAGGGCGGGGATGTATACATCAAATCTGTACAATGTAATACAATGTGAGAGTGTGTGTGTGTGTGTGTGTGTGTGTGTGTGTGTGTGTGAGTCACTGATGGAGGAGGCGAAGTCTGTACAGTTAGTACTCACACATCATGTTCGCTGTCACTATAATCTTTTTTTTTTTTTTTTTTTTCATACAATACAAGCAAGAAAACTTGAGTTTGTCCTCACCTCCTGCAGTGTGTTGGTAATGTGCGGCTCCACCTGTGTGTTCTGCGTGAAGATCAAACAGGACAGCAGGGCGGCGCTCTCTTCGGGCGCCAGCGGGCTCAGGACGTTCTCGAACAGCAGCTCGGTCAGCAGCAGCTCGTGGCTGCTGATCTGACAGGCTACGCGTCCTTTCAGCTGCACCGCCCCGCTGCTGTCGACGTACTGGAGGGACTGAAGAACCTGGAGGAAAACAAGCGGGGGGGAATAAAGTTCTTTAAAAGTCTTTGTTCAGGACCAGTGGAGCTGGGATCAGCACGTGGCTGAACCTTCATTTGGTTAAAGGAAATTGAAACGCTACTTCATTCCTCTTTGAAATGGTATGTTAAAGGGAAAAAAGCTTTCATCAATAATATCATATTCCTTCTTCCTCATCTACTTGCTCTTCTTCACTCACGCGGACAAAAAAACTAACATTTCTGTCACAAAATATGGTCAAGTTACAATAACTTTTACCTTTGGAGTCAGTATTACAGGTTCGTAATACTGATGATCTAGGACACGGTTTTCTCAGTATTTTTATGGCCTCAAATTCTTCTAAAGCCCAGCAACTGTTAATTAGTTTGTAGCCATGCTAATGGGCTCTAGTGATGGCAATGTTGGTATATTGGTCAGTTCACCAACTAAAATATCTACTACTGGTTAATTTGCCATGAAATTTTGCACAGTCATTCATAATTCCCAGAGGATGAACCCTGCCGACTTTGGTGATCCTCCGACTTTTCCTCTAGTGCTTCCAGCAGGTTGACATTGATGGTTTTTGGTGAAACATCTTGGCTGTTGATATACTACCATGAAATTGTATTCAGACATTCCTGTGCCCCACAGGATGAATTGTAATCATTTTACCATCATCCACCAGCACCATCATCAGGTCAAACTTTCTATTTGTCCAATACGATGGTTTATAATCAAATACGTGGAAAACTGATGAGTCCCATCATCGTGAAGTGTAATGTCTCCTATTTTGTGCTATAAGCAAATGTTAGCATCCTACACTATGATGTCACCATGGTAAACATGATACCTGCTAAACATAAGCATGTTAACATTGACATTAGCATTTAGCTCAAACCACCTCTGTGCCTAGCTACAAGCATAGCTGGAAACTCTTTGTCTTGTTTACAAATAAATTAAAGAAATATTTAAACATCCATATCAAATTTCCAGAAACTGATTAAGTGGATAATTAGTTAAATAGGTGATCAACAATTTTGAATTTTTGAATTTAAGTTATTCATGAAAAATGCCAAATATTCACTAGTTCTAGCTCTGCTGATCGATTGAAAGATTTATCCGGCTCTAGAAGTGACCTTATTTTGAAAAATAAAGGCACCCTGACAGAAACAGGTCAGGACAGCGAGTCAAACATCTGATCCAAACCTTGATCCTCTGGTGGTATTCAGGCAGCAGAGACAGAGACTGGTCCGACACCAGGAACAGGAGCCTGTCCAGCTCCTCCTGCACACTCATCCTCTCCTTAACCCGAGCAAACTGAAAACACACACACAGACACACACACGCACACACACAGACACACACACACACACAGTGATCACTTAACTTGAGTATACAACAGCAGCACTGCGGTGCTTGACCTGATTTCAGAGCGATGCTGCATAGTGACGGGGAGGAAAATGCTTCCTATTGTACTCTCATTGACAGCACAGAGGAGTCTCTGAGTGAATACATTACATAAACCCACTGAGGCCAATTACTGTATACTAACAGCTTGAACTGTAGAGCGTACTGCATTAACCACCGCTTTCCAATACCCACAGTGCTTCACACAAGGAAGTGTGAATCTGCAGCGATGAGAGGAGACAGTGATACTGCAAGTAAAAGCTTATCTTGCAAAGTAATGAGAGAGCTTGCATGAGTGTGTGTGTGTGAGTGTGCGTGTGTGTGTGTGTGTGTGTGTGAGATGGCTCAAGTGACACGCTGTGCCTGTGAGACAGTGATGAGCGGCAGCTATGGGCCTATATGGGTAATTATAGAAACGGGCGGCTCCGATTCTTGCATCTTATCTCCTAATGGAGGCTGCCAGGAAGACAGGATGCACAACACAAAAGCAGAAATCTTGTGGCGGAGTTTGATGTTATTATTGTGAAACTAGAGGAGAAATGATGGATGGATGAAAGGAAACCGAGGCTGGAATGAAAAGGGAGAAATGAGGGGAGGCATCACAAGGGGGCCAATTGTAACGCAAGTGTCTTATGTAAGGGTATGATGTTAATTAGCTGCATAAATATGCGATCGCTGCACAAAGGAATTGGAGTCTTTATTAACAAACAGTGAAATGGAACACTTCCCTTATTATTCATCTGCACAGTGCGTCTCAAAAATATAAATAACTCCTCTGGGAAATGAAAAGAGCGTTTTCTTCAAGGACTGCCTCAGTGATTAAACACATCAACACACACACCAACACACACCTGCTCTGCGAAAGTGGGCGTGTGGATGCAGTTGAAGTCTTTGAGGCTCTCCTGCAGCACACGGAGCCTCATGGCGCCCTCCACCACATCCACGCTCTTCAGCTGGAGGTCGTTCACGGGGTCGAGGGTCGCTATGCCGGTGGGGTTGGCCTCGGCCAATCGCAGGAGCTCCTGGGTCGCCGTGGAGATGGCCTGGCCGGGAGGGTCGTGCCTAAAAGGGCAAGATGGAGCGATGAAGGCAGTGAGAAGGCGAGCAGGGAAGATGACCTCCTTTTTAACTGTGACAGTTTTGAGTTATTGTGAGTGTTGTGATCTACATAATGGACAAGAAACTGTGGCAATAAAAGCATGAACGCAGACCTGGATACACTTTGTTGTAAAACTTAATTATGTCCAGAACATGGTCCTAACAGAGTTCTAGTGTGTGAAACACCCTAAGACAATCTCACAGGTGAATTACTATAGCTGTGTGTTTGTCTACATAGACGATACTATTCATAGATTTATATACATGGATAAATACTTTATTAATCCCAAAGAAAATGTAAGTAACCAGCATCTTAGAACACACTGGTGCAGTACACATGATACAAACCAGTGGAAACCGAGCAAATAAAGTAGTGACAACCAAATCAATTAAAAGGCAAGATAACTACTAATGAGCAGACTAACGAGACTAACTGGTACACTAATGACAAGCAGATGAGACATGTCTAGCCAATTTGATTAGATGTGAGCTGTGCATGCATGTAGAGAAGGCAATGTGCAAGTGGGCGTCACGCAAATTTAAATAAATACTTTATACTGTATATCAGAGCAGGCCTACAGTTTATCAGCCACTTGGTCCAAGTAGCTGTAAAAATAACACCACACAATATCATGTGAAAAAGCAAGTAAATGTTCAAGTTGTAAAAATGTGTTTTCTATAATTAGTTGCACTTGCACCTTTTTTTGGTTTATTGTAAGAATTTATTTCGTGATGTGTGAGTGTGTAAGAACCGGCTTGTTGAATTAAAGACTTAAAGGTGCCCTGTGACGTTTTGTTTGCGTGTTTACATGTTGAATGCATTTCCTGTACTTCCTCCACTTCAAGCCCAGCATTGTTTACATCGCTGGTTACAAGCTCACAGTTCTTCTTCTTCCCTGCCTTTGTTTATGCATACCATATCTTTCTTGCCATTTTACTGCCACCAACTGTCGGTGAGCAGAACAGCAAGGGTAGGATGTGGATCAAGGCTGTACACGTGCACGCACGTCCTCATGCACAAGCTAAACATTGCAAGTGGTCAGAAACTCCACAGTTAAAAACTCCACTGTCCATAATGCTTCTATCATATACAGTGGAGTAGCATTCTGGTTTTAAGGAGGTAATTATGGCGTCACGAGTTCCCCTGAGAACTCGTACAACGCTCATTCACACACACCTGAATCGTGGTTGTTGCCTCTTGTTGTAGTTGTCGATGATCCTGTCAGGAATCACTTTGAGGGTTTTCATTGTGATGGCAGAAATGTCCTGAAACTTCAGCTTCTGTACTGTGTGGCTGCAAGGGCCTGAAAAAAAAAAAAAAAAAAAAACAAGAAAAAAATATTTTTTAATCAAATTCTGCTGTTGCTCAAACTGCAAATTGCTCTGTGAAAGCATCAAAAAAATATGTGTGGGCGGTTTTAGAGAATGTGTGGGGAAGGCTGTGGATAGAAATGAAATTCTGTGTTAATGAGAGGAAACCAGAATGCGTGTGTGTGAGTGTGGGTGTGTGTGTGTGTGTGTGTGTGTCTGTGGGTGTGTGTGTGTGTGTGTGTGTGTGTGTGTGTGTGTGTGTGTAGAAGTGCAGAAATGTGCAGTCTGTCAACCCACCTTCGGGTATGAAGAGAGCTGTGTTGTAGAGGTGGGGGAAGGCAGTGTTGTTTCCTTTTCCGTCTCCTTCCTCGTTTCCTTTCTCACAGATGATCAGAGCGGTGAAGGTGCGATTCACAGAGTCACTGGACACCTGGCACGGAGACAAGATGGGACGGATGAGTCAAAAAGACAAGATGTGGAGTCGAGGGAATACAACAATGAATTTTTAGAGCTGTTGTCCTTGGTTTTACCCAAACCTGGCCTTTCTTTATTCTGTGTGAGTTTTCTCAACGTGTAAGTTTTCACTGCCCAGTGCATGATGGCACTGGCTGCTGAAAGGGAGTTACATAATTAAATAAAGGTTAAATTAAAACCACTAACGGCTAAAATGTCTGAATTAACTACAGTGTCTCTGTTTGTTTAGCTGAAGACAGTAAATTCATTTGAAATGTTCCTGTACAGATAAATAAACTCTGTATCCCAGGTTTAGGTTTGGCACTACAGGTGACATATTTTCACTTGGCAGGATTTTGGATGTCTCCATCTGCTGCTTCTGTTTAAGAAAAACACTCACACTTACCTGTAGGATGACTCCCAGGGCGTTGAGATGCTGTTTGTTGTTAACCACCACAACCCGACCCACAGACAGAGCTTTCAGCCCGTTCACAGACTCCAGAATAGCACGCTGGAAGCAGAGGGAATGTAGTAGATAAACAAGCAGCCGATTAAAAGCTGTTTAGAGTTTGCACCCAACTGTGTGTGCTTGTGTACCTGGAGGGATTCGGTGGTGGTTCGTAGCTCCGTCACTGTGTGGTAGTAAGGCATCAGGTCGGACAGCTGGCCCTCCGTGTCCAGAGGAGGCAGACAGGACAGCGTCTGCTTCAGCTGGCCGATCCTCTTCTCCTGAGCCTGGAGCGGGAGGAAGAGGAGGAGGAAGAAGAGGAAAGGAAACAGGAAGCTTTTATAACACATTTGTCAGTTGTCATGAGTCGGAAGAGGTGTGACAGAGATGAGCGAAGAGGAGAAGGCACAGGAAGAGAGGCTGTAGCTGTGGCAAAAAAAAAAAAATCTTGCTTTTTTTATTCCTTATTTTCTAGTTTTAGTCCTTTTTAACTGCAGCGTTACAGTTCAGTGTTTGGTGTATGTTACCTGAGTGTCTCTGTGGCTTTCAGAGAAGCTCCTTCTCATCATGTCAGTCACACGGAGGGCTTCGACTCGCAGCAGGTTGAGGATCATAGTGTAGGTCAGTCTGAACTGGGACTGGAGGATGGTAGGCTTACCCTGCGCCACACAAAGAACATGATGCCAACGATTTACCAATATGTTTCCATTATAGGTGTTTTCTTACTCCTTTCTGTTTTCTTTCCTCTGCCTTTCTTTAATTTCTCAGTTTACCGGTATAACACAATAACAATCCAATGTATAACACTCCAATTTAAAGACCAAAACCAATGACACATTAGTCTTTCTGACTTCCCTCCCCTGTCTATGGCAAAGCTATAACAAGCTTTGGATACACAGGCAATACTTTTCATTTATTTTTCCTGCTGGTCTTCAAAGCTAAAAAAATAAATAAAAGAAAATCAATTTCATATTCGTCTGCCAATGTACACCCAGTCTTTGGAAAAGCTTATGTATGTAAAGAACTGCTAAAAATATCATTGCAAACAGATAAACTAACTTTACATTAGCTGAAGAAGAGAGGACGCTGCTCTTTGTACATTTTACAGAGAGGATAAAACTCCCATCGGAGGCAAATGAGGTTTATTTCTGTTGAGGAGCACATCGAAATCGAGATGCTCCTCTCCAAACTGCCGCAGAGGGAGAACGAGTTAAAATAGCCCACTCAACTGTGTAATTAAATGTTAAATAACCCAGCATGCAACACTGTCCTTGAAATAAACGGGAGGCAGAGCGCTGCTTTGGGATATTTATATCTAGAAATGATGACCAGGAGATTTGATGCCAAACCGACCGGTTTATAAACTCATGTGTTTACAGTCTTTCTGGGGACCGAAAGGGACCTCACCAACATCATGACATGCAGATCTGCCATCTCATGAACGCCCGCTTTACACAGAATAATGACGGTGCCTGTGGCGTCCAGCCCTCTCCTCCCCGCTCTGCCCGCCATCTGAATATATTCACCTGAAAGTACAGTTCAGGAACATAAAAGAGATATCAGAATACTGTTGTTTCCCTCAGCTCCGATTCATCCTCAGAGATGAAAGAGCATGATAAATGTCGGCTCAGATGAAAGGCAGGAAAGACGCAGACAGGAACAGGGAGCACCACAAACCTGGCAGCAGATTTCTGAAGCCGGTGCCGTCGTGCTTTCTGATGCTGTCGAACACCACAGTCCTGGCGGGCATATTCACTCCCATTGCAAAAGTCTCGGTGGCAAACAGCACCTGGGAGATGAAGCGAAGATGCAGAAGAACAGTTTTAAACCACCTCTGGGCCAACATGTGCGAACAGATCGAAGCTTGAAGCGGCAGATCGACAGATTTGCAATAAAACTTTTAGCACACTGCTTCTCGTTACCTTTACGAGCCCTCGCGAGAAGAGCATCTCAATGACCTCCTTCAGTATCGGCAGGATCCCGCTGTGATGGACTGCTATTCCCCGCTTCAACAGGTCCCTCATCTGCAGGATCTAAACACAAGATTCTGAAATTTTAATGTCACATATTGTGGTTGATTTATTTTTTGTTAAGGCTGAATTAAGGCTAAACTACATATTTGTACATCTGACCGCCCTAATCTCAAAGTAGGAGCTTGACAGGATAGTGAAAAATAAATTCATCATCACTTGAGGACGCCGCCTTTTTTTTTTAAATTTTAAGGGCTAGGCCGAGCGTTCTTTACCTGAGGCAGCTGTCGGTCTCCTCCCCGGAGGCGACTCAGGCTCTTCTGGAAGAAGGAGTGGATCTCTGCCTTCTCTATGGACGAGGTCAGGTCCATGGACTCCAGCGAGCGGGCGTTCTCGTCGCAGCGTGTCCGAGAGAAGGTGAACGCAACCACCGGGGTCTGATGCCGCTGGGACAGGAAGTGCAGGAGGCTGAGCCACACCGCTCGGTCCTGGGGATGAGAAGAAGAAGACACGCAAAGGATGTTGTTAAGAGAAAATCAACCAGCGGCGAGGGGAATAGAAAAGAAAGGACGGGAGTTACCTGACTAGCTGAAGTGTTGTGAGAAGTGCTTTTTGTGCCGAATGATTGTGCATGTTTGCTGGTTCGCTCCTTCTTGGCATCAACAGCTGCATAGTACCTGAACAGACAACACACACTCCCTTTATGACAAACAGCTTCAATGTTTTTCTCTTTGACTTAAAATAATAACCAGCTACTGAAGTACCACAAGGCTGCGGATGAGGAAAAAGCTGTACCCTTTAGTCAGGAAGTTGCCTGCAGCATCCACCAGCAGGAACATCTCTTTCTGAGTCTTGGTGCTGTTTCCTGTGTACAGATTATGCTCCAAAGGCACAGGTCTCTTCATTGTGCTGATCACGTAAATATGCCTCTTCTTAATACGACTGGAGACGAAAGTTTGAGAGGGAAGAATGGGAAATGTTCAAAGAATACAAAAATACAATTAATAATAATATTTAAAAAAAAATGCAATTGTTGTTGTGCCTCACAAATGGTTTTTAAACACTCAGTGTTTCAGCAGATGTCAGTGTTTTGCACCTACCCGATCCATTCGCTAAACTCCAGGGCATTTGGCACTGTGGCGCTAAGTAGAATGATACTGACGTGATCGGGAAGCATAATCAAAACCTCCTCCCACACAACTCCTCTCTGAGGAAAACAAAGGGAGGGCAAAAGAGGAGAGGAAAACTGTTATTCTTGACTTCAACAGTAAATCAGATCACTGAGGAAAAACAGTGGGGGACTTGTCCCTGACCTCGGCATCATTGATGTAGTGAACCTCGTCAAAGATCACCCACTCCAAGTCTCTGATGACCTCTGATCCGTTGTACAGCATGGACCTGAGAGAGGAGAGAAGGAGGAAAGACTCTAGAAGCTCATCCATCTTTGTTAAAAACACGACTCTAATATTTGTTCCATATCTGTACCTGAGGATCTCAGTGGTCATGATGAGACATGAAGATTCAGGACTGAGCTGGACGTCGCCCGTCAGGAGTCCAACGTCACCGAAGGTGTTCTTAAAGTCTCTGAACTTCTGATTGGACAGAGCTTTAATAGGGGATGTGTAGATGGTCCTATCAGAGGACACAATGAGGAGATTCAGAATATGATATGAAAAACTACAACATTACTAACTTATATAAAATACATTTGTGACTATCAAGTTAAAACATTTCTAATTAGTCAATTTTCAAGGTTTTGGGTCATGTTAAACGATTACACGCTGCTCTGAAACAAGCTGTGAACTGTGAACACAACAGTAAGTTTGCTCAGAAGTCCTGGCATTTTACAGTTGTCTGCCAATGATCACATACAAGATCACAAGGAACATGACTGAGTCACTAACATAGTGACGTGTGCTTCAAAAACAAACCGGCAGTTACCTCGCATCGCCATAGGTGTCGCCCAAGACAACGAAAAACTGAGATATTTGAGATTGCTACTTTAAGTTGACATAGCAAACATGGTGGCAAACAGTTGCTTTGTTACACCTCCACTTCCAGTAAATATGAAAGCAACATATGATTGAACATATGAACATATGAAGCTTTATTGCCCATGAATGGAAGTACAGTTTACTCTCCTTTAGTCTTTAGCCTTTTTTTTTTTTTGGTCCATATCTGAAATGTGACCAAGCAAAAAATTTTATCTCTCCAAATGTTTGTGTTGAAGTATTACCTGTACTGTTTTGTGATGTTGGTTAGTGTTTTTTCCTTTCTTTTTTTTTTTTTTTTTAAATCTTTACTGCTAATCAGTAAGCCATTATGCTAGCTGTCTGAGGCTAATATGTTGCTAACAAAATTCAAATTAACTGTTAATTTACTGTTGGGCTAACCATTTCATGTTTTATTACACGTAAAAATAAAACACTAAACATACTAAACATGCATATGTGTATGTAGTACACTAATTACTGCGTTGTACATTCTATGGGGACTTGTGGGATAATGTAACTTATTTGACCGTTAGTTATTTGACAGTTTGTTAATCCAGTTTTCATTTTTACATTACCTTTGGTCTGACTCTTGTTTACCTTATCTCATCAAGTTCTCATTGAATTGTTATATTTTATCCAGTTTTGTTTTCACACTTTCACACTGCTTCTCAGTAAAACCTTCAGAGTCCTCCTGCAATGTTTATGAGCTCAGTGCATAGGTGAGTGTATAAAAAATTAATTTGTACCAACAAATACACACCTTGTCATGTGTTTCTGTGAGAGCGCGATGGCATACTCGGCCACCACTGTTTTGCCAGCTGATGTGTGCGCAGCTACAAACACAGAGTCGTGAGCCTCCAGCCTCAGCACAGCCTGTTTCTGGAAAACATCCAGCTCAAACGGCCACTGGAGCAGAGGGAGGCAGAGAAACAGATCACTGGCTGCTCAGCCACCAAGCTAAACGATTTTCATGTAATGATTCATCACACATACACAGAAGCACAGAGAGACAACAAATAAACGAGGAGGTGGGAGGGAAGTGTGATGTTTGGTGATGCACAGTATACAAACAGAGGCACGAACAGACATCATGTCATATTTTTAACTGGATGATTACTAGAACACCCACCTTGAAAGCTGGGTTGGGGATGCGTTTATAGAAATCATCACAAGGTGAAGTTATGTTAACAGGGATGGCCCATTTCTTTTTATCCTCTGGGTTCTCTTTTGGCTTTGATTTCTCATCTGTTCCTTTCTCTGTTGGAGTGGAGGATGACACAGCATCCTGAAGACAGAGGAAGAAAACCAGCTCTCAGTGCTTGGCAAAAGACAACAACATACTTGGAATTTAGGAAAAATACAAAATATCATTGATATTGATTGTTGAAAACAGACACATGAGACCTAACCCATTATAACTGACATATTTCTTTGTTACACATCTGTCAGTGATTCCTGTCATTCAAATACCCGACAACACACATTTATTCTACACATACTGATAAAACAAAGAATTCCAAATAAATAGTGGAGCACTGGATTATAAATTAGTAAATCTGGACACTGTGAACACCTTTATATTTATAATCAACACACACAGTTTCTAGGCAGAACCCTGTATTAGCACGATGATTAGCATCAATGACCTAATGTTACCGTTGCGATCAATTTCATCACACAGCACAACTAAGATGGGCCTGACAGCGGATCATTTTTCAATCCTTTCACACAAAATGCTTTCAACTGCTAAATCTTTTAAAATTCACAAATCCTTTTCTTTCTTTCTTTCTTTTAAATTCAACCACCAGTTAAATGTCTCATGCGAAAGCTGATACATTTAAGTTCAAAACCGAGCACTTTACTACATTTACTACATTTCTACAGTGATAAAACAGTTCACATTATATTTCAAATCTAAAAAAAGAGAAAAAAGAAAGTAGACCATTCACAGTAGGAGATTTAAATGTTGATCATGATTTTAAGGTGAAGAAATGTACTAACAGATTTTTAAAAAATAATTGAAATACCTTGATGCCCAGGTCTTCAAGGCTGTTTGTTCTGGGTAATTTGGGAGCTTCCTGACCTCCTTTGACTTCCTCCTTCTCCTCTGGCTCAGGTTGTAAGTTAATGTCATCAAATGCGGACAGGAGGGACATTAGGTTGACCTCTGGGTTTGACATTTTGGCATCTTGAAGTTACAAATTAAAAAAAAAAAAAAAAAGGAAATTATTAAGTATTTCTCTTTTAACCCTTGCAGGGTTTTGTTTTTGTTTTGTTTTTTTGCACAGGAAAACTTGATATCTAACCTTTGTCAGTGAAGTCCATCCCAGCTTTGAGACCAGGTGGGACTCTGAGCAAATCTGTGAAAGAAAAGTAAGAAATACTGCCATGAAGAGCTGAAATAACAACAAACGTTTTCAATATCATTTTATGACAATGCAAATCAAAATTTAAAAATCACCATTCACAAAGTCGATGTCCTCCTCCAGGTCAGATTTCTTCTTGATTTGTTCCAGTGTAAGCTCCTCCATTCCTCCTGTGAAGATCATTGTCATAACAAATATATTGTAAGATGATAAGGCCAAGATGAAAACTCCTCATAAATATATAAATATATATGTATATATATATATGTAAATCTCTACTAAAGGAATCCATCTCACCAGGGAGGAAGGGGTAGTTGGTGTTGCTTCCTCGAAGGCTCTCTGAAGGAGGCCCGGGTTGGCGTTGTAATGACAGTGAGTTCTTTGCCGAGAGGCCGGTGTTCTCAAGTAGAACCTAAAGGTGAGTTACAGACAGAACAGAGCCACAGAAGCTGAATTAACCTCTACTGAAAGTAACACAATGGGCTCTTTCTGTTGAACTAATACAGAAAGACAAAATAAAAAGACAATTTAATTGCTGTAATAGGTTTTAAAACAGGATAACATTATGGCTAGATTTAACTGCAGATTATTTTCTTAATTAAATGATTAATTGTTTGGTGTATAAAATATTAGAAAGTAGTCAATAATGCCCATCACAATTTTCAAAAACGTACGTTTACATTGTCCAAAACCTAAAGATATTCACTATACTAACATGGAGAACAAAGAAAAGTAGCAACCAGCAAATTTTCACATTTGAGAAGTTGGAACAAGTAAATTTTCGTAATTTTTGCTTCAAAAATGTCATAGGATTAATCAATTATCAAAAATGTTGCTGATAAATATTCTGTTATAGACTAATCGTTTCAACTCAAGATGAACAATTAAAACAATTAAAATAATAACAGTACAATGGGAAGAGGGGGCCAACATATTTGTGAGATACCTCTGTGAAGTCCAGCAGCATCCCTGTGGTTGGATCTCTGACCACAGAGAGACTTGAGTGAAGCGGAGACTGAGTGCAGTTCAGTAGAGAGCCAACATTACACTCTCTCTTAGTCACTCTGTTGAAGAAAACAACACAGCAGTTACATCTTCCTCAGATGTATGTGGTTAATAATTCAGTTCGATAATTACAATGTCTTTTCATTACGTCTTTTTAATTTTTGATCTGTATACCGACTATCCTGATTAGACAATATTTTAGAGTTTTCAAAAACGGCAGGTACACAAAAGTTTAAAAGTTACACTCTCTTTATTATTCAATAGAAATCAATAAATAAGTTATTTAGCTATTATTGGCTTTTTCACCAGCAATAACAAGATAATCAACAGGCATATGTACTTGAGAAACTTCTGGAAGGCAAAGTCTGTGTCGTGTATAGGAAGCCAGTCGGGGTCCCGTAAAAACTGTTTTTCTACTTCTGTCTCCAGGTTCAGGCTGGTTGGAGGAAGCCCATGGGGGAGCTGTGGAAGGGAAGATTAGATCAGACATTCACTAACTGAAAGTAACCTCATGAGCCAGCATTCAAAGAGACATACCATGCAACCAAAACATCAGTTCAGTTCCTTAATTGCATGTAATTCCCATCTGGTTTCCCAAGTGACTACTGTCAATCAACTACTAAAAGTAAAATGCAATAAATTCTTTAGTTTATTTAATTGTGACTGAAACAGAAGCATTTAAAGAATATATCTTGTCAACGCAGGTGGACAAAATGTGCATCTGTGATTAAGTGTTGTAATCAGCTCTGAACTTGCAAACACATATTTATTTATAACTGCAAAAGCAAAGATAGACATTAGTTATTTTAATAATAAAATCATGATTTCTTGCAACAGAGCAAAGCTCCACCAGGTTACACAAAACTGGCAGGCACATTTACTCAAGTACAAATTTGATTATATTTCTGTGAGACTTCACGGTTTTACACTGCAAATGCGTAAATGTACACAGTCATCCTCCTGCTCCACACTGACCGTGCTGGATGGAGGTAGAGGTTGGCCGGGCAGGGAGTGTGTGATCAGCTCAAACCTGCCAGAGCATCCCATCTCCAGCAGGGACAGCGGCAGGTCCATGGGGCCCGCAGGGGGCACATCTGCATAAAACAAGACAAAGAGTATGAATGGACTAAAAAACACAATAAAGCTAGTCCACCTCCATGCAAGCAGGGTGCAGCTAGGAAGATGCGCCCTACGATCTCTAGTGCTAACTTGACTCTTTATTAGTCTGTATGAGTTCGAGAAAAAATGACATATAGATATAATTAAAGCCACCGGTTAATTAGTTAAATATTAAATCTTCAAGAAATGAGGCTGAGTGGAGCACTGATTGACAGAAGTCTGGCTACACTGTTAGCCACATCATCATCACACAAGTTACACCAGCGAGCCATGGTAGCAAGATAAAACGCCTCTCCGTTAAATATATATACATATAAATATTGTAGGATCTGACTTGATATTAATAAAACACAACTTACTTATTCTGTCCATGTCCCCACTCGCAGCTAGAAGCTAAAAGTTGCCACTAACTGTAGAAACTGTTGTCGCCTCGGAAGTTGCCAAGTGACAAGCGGAAGTTGCTAGCAAGAAAACAGAAAAACAGAAAAATAAGAATCAAACTGTAGATGTGTCACTTTTTTTTTTTTAACAACACTGTCTAAAATATATAATTAATTGTTATACTCCAAATGGATACTGCTTTGTTTAATTTTTATTTATGCAAAAAAGCCAAACGTCAGCAGCAGCTGTAACGTCATATTTACGCGTCGGTGTTTTTGTTGAAGTCGGCACACAGCACCATTTGAGTTTGGTAAGTGAATTAATTAAGTAAAAGCTACTGTTAGATAAAGTGGTTTTAACAGACCGTATATGGTTTATTATTCTGACAGGCTGGTAGTTTACTTTTTGTGTGGTCTGAATTGGCTACATTTATACTCTTATGGAAGCAGAACGTTTGCTTTCTGGCTAGCGACCTAATTAGCTTGTCTGGGCTAGCAGCGGTGGACGAGCTGAAAGTAAATAAACGAAATTATTCATGTTTATTCATGTTAAAATAAACTGTGTTCGATTCCAGCTGTTAATGCAGTTGTCTGTATTGTAGCGGTTGCCACCATGGTGGTGTTTCCAAGTTCACTGACGGAGGAAGAGGAGGCCCTGCAAAAGAAATATGCTAAACTAAAGAAAAAGGTAAGGTATTGAAAAACATGAAAACATTTAAGACTTGGCACTTTAAATAAAGACGTGAATGTGTAACATTCAAACGTTTGTTTTAATGGCATCTGTTGAATTTATTCCCCCGTCATGGAGTGTGTGACTCAGAAGTCAAAGTCAATTTATTTTTATTTATTCATTCATTTAGTCATTTATAGATCATATTTGAAAACAAAAAACTAGCACTTTAGAAAACCTAACTGCAGATAAAAGAATATTAAATCAATTCTGTACTTGACTGGCGAGATGAGGCTGACGGCTGATTCTTACATTGAGAAGAAACAAAAGTAGAATCTGCATGTCTTTAATGGACAGGGAAGAATTTCGTAAGTGATATAAGATGGAAGAAGCCCAATGAAATAAGTATTTAATGTTTTTTTGTGTTCTTTTTTTTTTTTTAATTGTTATTGTTTAACTGTCTTTTCAGAAAAAGGCACTGCTTGCCTTGAAGAAGCAGAGTTCAACCAACCAGACAAACCAGAGTGGCTTGAAACGGAGTAAGTGCCTTTGACTGAATTTAGAATAATTTGTCTTCTTCAACATTTGTCTAAACGAAAATACATTTTTGTATTAACTTGCCATCAGCATTCTCATTTTAATTTTTCCCCAGCGTCCCCAGTGTGTACACTCAGTTGGCAGTTCATTGTGCATTAATATTAGCTAGGTCTAAACTGGCACCTGAGTCAATGATTTAATTGATTAATTTATTGAATCACTTTATTTTATATAATGTATACAGTGACACCTGTTGAGAGTCTGATCTTTTGTTCAAATATATCCTGTTCACAAGAATTAAAAAAGCAAACAAAAACATAGTGACAAGAGGAAACACAATAATGAATGAATGAATAATAAATGTTCAAGCCATAAATAATAACAGCTGGACAAAAATATACATATGACTTGGCTGCATATTTGTATATTTGCACTCATTCAAGGTGACCCCATTAAGTACAAATATTCAGTCACATTAAAGTAATCAAAAACAGAATTTATTGAGTTAATTGCTCATTAACTACCTTAATCTGCTTAAAAACTGGGTATACATGGCATACAGAACATCTTGCACACACATTTATGTTACACTTTTCTTCATCACAGCATTGTCGGACCAGCCCGTTGTTGACACTGCAACAGCAACAGAGCAAGCAAAGATGCTTATCAAGTCAGGTGCCATCAGTGCCATCAAATCAGAGAACAAGAACTCAGGTTTTAAACGCTCTCGAATGCTGGAGATTAAACTCAAGGTAGGATTGTCATTAAATATACTACATGGCCCATAACAAGATAATTTCTGGTGTTTGCAGGTGAGGGACATATAATCAGATAGTGGAATAACGTGGGCACATGGCTATCAATTGATATGTTATTGTGGAATCTACATGCTTGGCAGACACATAATTTTTTTGAAAAACACTCAGGGAAACAAAGCAGTTACATTGTGACAGTGAACCTGTGAGGAGAAGGCACCACAGCACCAAGGTCACTGTTAGTGTGGTTGGTTATTTAACTTCTTTTTCCCTGCTTCATCACTTGTTTAAATTTGTTGCTCTTTATCTGGCACAGGACCCTGAGAAAGGCCCAATTCCTGCTTTCTTACCATTCCAAAGGAGCGTCTCTACAGATGAAGAACAACCTGAGGTATAGTGGAGATTTAACATGATATAACATGACCACTTTGTTGCAACTGGTGTCTCCTGTCATATTTAAAGGTTTCCTTTTCAAATTGTATCATTTCTTGAAATTTAGAATATTGATTAATTATATCGAAAAAGCACCAATACAGAATTTACATGTTGCTGTGGCCGATAATTGCAATTGCTAAAAAGAAATGCCACATGAAGCACATCTTCAGATCAAAACATCAGCTGATCAGTGATGTCAAAAATGACGTATACAGGTTGAGGAAAAATCTGTAATGCTCTGTGTTGTACTCGGGCAGAAAACCATAGGTACGGCTTATTCTGATGTTCTCATATTTGTGCTTCCTCTAGTCTGGGAAGAGAGCCCAGAGGAAATCTCTGTATGAGAGGTAATGTCCAATAATCATGATTGAATGAGCGAAACAACCAGTTTAATACACTGTCAGTGAGTATCTGTGAATGTAACATTATTTCCCTCTGTGCCTCTGCAGCTTCGTCAGTTCAAGCGACCGATACCGGGATGAGGACGACGGAGGCAGCATGTCATCCAGCCGCGACATGGACAGAGAGAGAGAGCGAGAACGAGAAAGAGACCGCGACCGAGAGCTTGACAGGGAGCGGGACAGAGACAGAGAGAGAGACCGGGAAAGGGATAGAGACAGAGACAGAGGCAGGGAAAGAGAAAGAGAACGAGATCGGGACCGAGAAAGAGACAGAGACCGGAGCAGAGAAAGAGATCGAGACCGGGAAAGAGAAAGGGACCGGGACAGAGACAGAGATGGACCATTTAGACGTAAGTCAGCATTTTTTCTTGTCATACAAGGATATATTATATGTTATTATGTTATACAATTATGCAACAGGGAGTCCATCATACGCAAGGCAGAGATGCAGATTTCTCTACAAATAGTACCATCAGCTGACAAGAATGCATTGCAGAGCCAAGTCATAATGTGGGTGTAGTGTGGTGGTGGTTGTCAAAAGACTTGCTGGGACGCATAAATAATAATTATTTTTTTTGTCTCCCATGTGCTTATCCTCAGGGTCAGACTCATACCCAGAGCGGAGAGGAGTGCGAAAGGGGAATACAGTATATGTTTACGGCTCTGGGCTTGTCGAGGACAGCCTGCGCGCTGCCTTCTCTCAACATGGAAACATCATCGACCTCTCCATGGACAACCCACGCAAGTATGGACCCATTAAACAAAGCTGTGTGTACATATTCTTCATTTCTGTCTGCTGTTCTGATAAGAAACAGCAATAAAACAATTGTGATTACACAACGTACTATTCTCTTCTACGTTTCCTATTTCTCTTTCTAGTTGTGCGTTTATCACGTTTGAGAAGATGGAGTCTGCAGACCAGGCTGTAGCTGAGGTAGGTACTGATCAATATAAGAAAAACTGACAATAATACATATAGTCCTCTTCCTCTATAAATAATATTGCATCATCCAAAACAAAGCAACAAACAAATAAGAAGGATTCATCAAAGAAATTCAAAACAGAATATACATGTAATTCAGAGCAGAGCAGGCAGCCAGCTGACCATTAAAACAATGAAATAATAATTAGAAAAAAAAAAAAAGTATGTGTTAAGGCATTGAGTATGTCAGCATAAAATTTACAGAAGTAGCACAGTACATTTGTACAGATATTCAATTTTATTTCCGTCAGGGAAGCCTAAATATCAGGTTTAAGTTTTTAGAAATTATTCAACTAATTTGAGTAGATTTTTAGCTAGGTATGATATTAGAAGATTGCCGAATATACATAAATAAAGAAATGACTATGATCAAAATAGTAAATATAAGTTTACGGCATGTGAGATAATTTACTGAAGTTCTATAACATTTTAATGAATAGTTTTGCCTCTATTAGTATTCTAATGTTTATATTACGATGGTTAATTAGTAATCAAACAGTTATGATCTTTGTTCCCCAAGACACTGAATTTAAATTTTGTGTCTGAAGAAAAAGAAAGAACCCCTATACGACTATTGTCATTATTGTACTATAATTAATTTTAAGTGTTTTGTCAAACTATTTTCCCACAGTTGAGAATTAACTTTCATAATCAAGTAAATTTTTACTGTTAATTTAAAATGTCAATTGTCAACTTTAAAATGTTAATAATGAAATCTAGCCATTCTTTTAGTTTACTAGAAGACACTTTGCAGTTGTGGGGTCCTGCTCATGTAGACTTCATACAAAGTAGACTTTGTTTTTTTTTTTGTTTTTTTTTTAAAAATCTCACAGCTGAATGGAAGCACGGTGGGAGACATTCACATCAAAGTCAGCATCGCCAGGAAGCAGCCCATGCTGGACGCTGCCACCGGCAAATCTGTGTGGGCGTCACTGGGTAAACACATCACTGTTATTGTTTGTTTAGACACTGATCAGACTGTGTGTGTGTGTGTGTGTGTGTGTGTGTGTGTGTGTGTGTCTGCACAGCATGGATTAACCTTCACCACTGTCTCTCTTCTTCCACAGCTGTGCAGAACAGCACTAAAGGCTCCTACAGGGACAAGAGGAACCAAGTCGTGTACAGTGAAGATTTCCTCTGAAGGAGAAGAATGTTTTTGTATTTTTGCATAGAGCTTTTCATGTTTTTGTTTTAATCAACTGTTACCTGGCTGCATAAGGTGTCTGTTTTGCAGGATAAATACAAATCCTCTGTTGTCTTTTATTTCACATGATTGGTATGTGATGCTGTGTGTGAATTTTGTTCATGAAACTAGAGATACTGTTTTGTGGAGCTTAATAAACAGTATCCATACATTGTTATGTTGGCTGAGATTTCCAATCGTTTTGAATCGACAAGACACGGTCAGTGGGAATAATATCCATTATGATGTAGATAAATACGATTACATTGTAGTCAAAACCTAAATAATGCAGTTGCAAGATTCCAGGCCAGTTCTCACACCATGTCAGATACTCGCAGCTCTTCTAACTACTACAATAACCACAGGCATTATGGGTATAGTAAAGTATTGCAATCAGAATAAGCTGGGTGGAAGTGCTGCAGGTAAACTTTGACAACAGGTTATGTGGGTAAATGCACACCCAAATTAGTCAATGCTCACAGCGATTTGTTTGACAAAAGGATGACTGCAGAGTAGGTTCCAACATTTTTAAGGTATGTTTAACACAAGTGTCAGGTACAGTCAAATACATACACACCTGGTGGCAATCTGCAATCAGTGATGTCGATTACAAGTCAGAAACACCTGAGTTCATCACAAACATTAGTGAACTCTCAGAAAAAATTCACAGCATTCTTAATTTATTTACCTCTTAGAGAGAGTTATGTCCCAAAACTGTTCAAATGTCTAAATAACCCACTTAAAAGACAAGGACGAATGCCCTATATTCATTCACTCACCACTGAACAATTAAATAAACATACAGACCTCAGAGTTATCTTTACCTTTTCTCACTTGTTAATGATATCAGATTGTAGATTGACATTGGGTGGTGTATGTATTCTCTATATTTCTGACAGTTATAGTTAACTTTGAAGATTAAGATTTTAAAAACCTATAATGAGCATATAAAATACACTGCATCATTATACTGCAGATTAAACCACCAAACAGTACATAGAATAGCACGGACCAACTCCATCTAGACCAGTAAAATGCTGCTCACATGTTAAAGCGTCAGTAATAGTTATTCAGTTGTATAATAAATATAGTAATAATTTTACACTTTCAATTAAAATTTTCTAATATGTCACATTGGATCTTCAAATGTTTTACACATTTTAACCACATCTTGCTCCGTGATTCATTAAAGGCCCTGCATGCCCTCACAGGTGCTTTCAATTACCTTGGTAAATTACACCCATCTATGTATGATGCACTGTAATCCATGTACAAATAACAATGATGGTGTAAGCTGTGTTGTGCTCTCACAGGTGCAACACAAACGAAGCACAGTCTGCTGACAACATCACAGCTTTGATAGCGGGTCTAATCAGGCTACATAAGTAAAAGCACCTGCGTGGCTGGACAGTGTGTGTGTGTGTGTGTGCGTGTGTGTGTGTGTGTGTGTGTGTGTGTGGGCTTTAATTTGCGTCCATGTCAGGAAATTATACATGTGACCAATGTTCACATCGAGCAGAGAAGAGGCTTTTGAATTATTTTATTTACACCGTTTATATAATCTTTTCTTTGAAATGTGGTCAGGCATTGCACTCAACGTGTACTACATGTATTCAAGTTTAAGATTACAGTCTTCAGTCAAACTAATCAAACTATTCTAACAGACATTAAACTCAATGGGCCTTTGTCATAGCAGATATTTTGACATGGCAAAGGAGGAAAAGCCACAGGTGGAAATAATAAAATCAATAACAGCTGAATTCCATTTGGCTTGTTCAGTTTCAGGGTTCAATTATGGTTCATGTGCTGGCTCAGTGTTGTGAGCTATGATCGAGACACTTGACTAGAACAGAGCAATCGTTAGTGTTATTAGTAACACCTGTACTTTTTCTATTATGACCAGTCAAACTGTCTGCTGTGAAAAAGGTTTGGCTCGGTGAACGCGGGTCGTGGACTGTAAAATCTCAGTCATTTTTACATATATCCATCACTTAGTATGCATATTCTTATGCAACTTTGAAAAATATTTCATGTGATGTGACAGGGCTTTTATTTTCACAGTCTGAGATTTTTAAAAGGCCTCGTAGTCAGTTTTCAACACTTGTTTAACATCCACATGCGACCCCACAGAATGATCTCCTCACTCTACAGCACTTTCCGAAATTCGCTGTCGAGCCTGAGCAGCTTTAGTTTAGACACTTTGCGGTCTTTGGCCTATGACACTTGTTCAGTAACCAAACATTCTTGTTCTTCCTCTCTTATCCTTCCAGCAGCTCCTCTCGCTCTCTCAATCTCCTCCTGCTCATGCAGGGAGTTCTGCCCCGTGGTTTTCCCGTGTTGCTCCTTCAGGTGGCGTCGTAAGGCGGGCTTGTGGGCAAAGCGGGCATGGCAGTAGGCGCAGTGGTGCGGGCGCTCGCCACTGTGGAGGTTCATGTGGTCTATCAGTGTGGATTTTTGAGTAAAAGTCTTATAGCACAGGGGGCACTGGTGGGTTTTGCCAGCGCCCCGGTGCACGGCCATGTGTCGGGTGAGGTTGGCGGAGTGGTGGAAGTGTTTGCCACAGCAGGGGCAGGCGTACAGCAGGTGAGTGGAGCGGGAGTGGACAGCTAGCGAGTGGGCCGAGGGGAAAGTCATGCCGCAGTGCTCACAGATTACAGGTCCTGCTACGCTTGAAGTGGACCCGACAACTGCGACGGACTCGTCCCCTCCCTCATTTGTTCCAACAGTTGCCATCCCTGAACTCCCCTCGCCGGCACCACAACTAGATTCCTCCAGGGAATACTGGTTCAAACTGTTGGCTGCCATTGGCGAACCCTTTTCTCCCTGAGCTTCACCCATGCTGAAGTCTAACCCCGGGAGTTCGAGCGACACGTAACTTCCTGTCTTCAACCCTTCTTGGCTGTAGTCCAACCCGATACCCCCACCTAATCCAGCGGTTGTTAGGTACCACAAATCCGGATGGTGAGCCAAGCCTGAGGATCTTTTCTCCTGAGATGACACCCACCTTCTCCTTTTGAAACCCCTCCCCCTGCCTCTCCCTCTGCCCCGGCCAATTTTATGCTCAGACAGCCTTCTGAAAGCGCGGAGCCCCTCCACTGAAAGTCCTCCAGTGCTGAGATCTTCTGTTTGATTCAAGTCAAATTCACTGCCTTCTCCTCTGATCACGACACCTTCTGTCTCTGGGTAAGAAGCATCTGGAGGTGCATCAGAGGGAGCGCCTTTCTCCTCCTCCCTGTCTCTGTTCATCTGCTCCTCTTCGGAAATGTACACTCTGAACACATCGTAGTCCTCCTGTCTGGTTTCTTCCTCATCTGATCCATTAACCTATAACAGAGTTGAAGACTGAGTCAGCTATCAACTAAAGAGCTGTTTATTCTGTAAAATATAACAGTGAAAATACCCATCAAAACACCTACAGCCCAAGGTCTCATCTTCAAATTGTTCTATCCAACCAATAGTTCAAAACCAAAGATATTTAATTCACAATGTCATAAAACAGAAAATTCTTGTCAGCAAATGTTTTGCCTTTTTTGCTTGATAAATGACTTCCACCAACTAATGGATTTAAAAAAAAAAAATTGATTTATCTTTCCAGGACTGGAAGTGTCATTCGATAAGCTGGCAACTACTGTTTATACTGGTGTGCTAATGCGATCTGTGCTTTCACACAGACAAATAGCGGTGGACACTTTAGAGAACCTGTTATTATCCCTGATCCCTCTGGTCTGTGTCAAATCAGTGCCATCTCCTTCACCTTGTCATCATGACCCCTTATCCTCTGTAGGACCCACCATTTATTACACTTCAATTGACCATGTACTGGGACCATTTATAACGTGGTATACAAGTGCTACAGGGACAGGAGGAGGAGGACTGTACCCTTATTTTGCCTGTGTGTTGCCAGATATTATTCAGGCAACAGTTGTGAATTTGTTCAACTCTGTTAAAAATGAGGACAGACAGGCAGACTCAGGCTGATGTGGCAATTAACACATGTGATTAGTCAAAAGGTGCCTAAAGGAATACTACACCATTCATTTTTTGAGTACTAAATATTCACCTCTGTGAGCCTGAATGGCGAGAGAAAGTGCCAACCAAATTAGCTCTGTTAAATTAATCAGTGTGTGTCATAAACACTGCAAATGATCTGACATTGTATAGGTGTAAAAAAGTGCCCTGGTCCCTGGTTTATCTTTCACACACACAAACCTTAATGCATGGCTCATCCAGCACGGGACTGTCATCGTGGTGTTGACTGCTGCCCTGAGCAGACACATCGCCGTTGTTCTCTTCCACCGGTCGTACTACAGGACTGTGTGGATCCACAGGGGAGGGTCGGCTGGGGGGAGGAGATGCAACAGAATGAATGCTGCCACTGACGATCACCGGTTGAGACTGACCCTCCTCTGCAGTCATCTAGAGGAAGAAAAGGGAAGCAAGGACAAAGACTGAGCTGTATAACTGAAAGTTATGAAAGCGATGAAAATGTAATACTGTACATTACAAAATGTAGAAAGAAAAAAGAGGTATGAAATGGCCAGTAAGCACTTATGTAAAGCTGGAATAAAACTGGAACAAACACACATTTGTCACATTTTTTTACACAAAGACTTTATTAATTTACACGCTACAGGAAAAATAAGGGATTCAAACTTGACTTTCATTTTCATCTTTTCAGATTGAGCCTAAACAAATTATACCAAATTAAATCTGGAAAAATCCAGAGAAACAAGCCGGTGTGAATATTATTTCCCAGCACTGCACAACATATTGTATGTGTAAACTAGAAAGACTAAAACCGTTGATTTATTTGGGTTACTGACCTTCGGTGGACTGGGGTTCTTTAGCTGGACATACTTCTTCAGAGCTCCTCGGCAGCGCTCTACAATATGCTCCATCTGCAGGTAGCTGGCAGCGGTCAGGTAGTTGACGATGTCCTCCGGGTTAAACTGCAGCACACCAGTGTAACAAGACTGGAGCAGGTCACACACCACTGTGGAGCTATACAGCATTGACACCTGGATAAAAATGTGAAACAGAAACACGTAGAAGCACTGTTTTTACTCAGAATTAGAGTTAAGAGCTGAAGAGAGACACACTGACAGCGTGAAAGGGTGCGCGTTGACTTCGGCCTACCTGAAGCTTGGCGGATGGGTTGAGGAGGAACTGGTCCCTCAAGAAGGGCGAGCAGGCAGCAAGTACAACCTTATGCCCCCTGAATGTCTGGTTGTTGGCCACTATGGTGATGTCACAGAAATGCTGACGGGACCTCAGAGAATTCATGTGCTTCAGGGTTGTGTCCCCGTGACCCGGTAACCGGAAACACAGCATCTCCATCTTGCATAGTAGAAATCAGAATTTGTGTTATTGTCTACAAATTACAAAAATCAAGTATTGATGGCAAATAACTAAATTGGATGATCTTTAGAAAATCAATAAATGGACAAAATGGCTGCTGCAAATAAACAGAGGTCAAATAAACAGTGGATACATCATGGCTGCCTGATTTCATACACACTGTCACCTGAGACCTAAGATTGGACTAGCAGAACTTGTAATGCAGTCAGACACTGTTTCACATTGCATTGCATGCATACAGCATGATTGCAAGCTCATTTTTCTTCCTATATGAAATCAAGCTGTTAAGAGGGTCAGTTTTCATACTTATATCTTGAGGTAACAAAATTCATTACTGAGCAGTTGCTCTAGCTGCACATCAATCAGTTTTGCAACTACAAAAACCACAAACAGTCAGTGCTCAAGATGCAAAGATAGTATTAGTGTAACTAGGTCAAATAGAAGCAATATTTTCACTTGTGTGGTAGCTGCCTGTAAAAAAAAAAAAAGTTTATCTAAATATGGTAAATATTCATGTCTTAAAAGACTGACAGAAGCATAGAGGTGAAATAATTAGTGGATTCATATGTAAACTAATAAGAAACCATTTGGTAATCAATCATTTCCTCTTCTCAAATGTGAGGATTTGCTGCTTTGCTTTGTTATATGTGATAGTGAACTGAACATCTTTTGGTTGTGCACGGTTGATCACGTATTTGAGGGAATTTGAAGATGCAGCTTTGCGCTTTATGAAATTGTGATGGACATTTCTCACTATTTTCTGACACTTTCTAGACAGAACAGTCCAGCAAAGGATATCTAAAATACTGTTAAATCAGCGAGCTAGCTAACATGATGTGTGGATCAAGACTGAGTTGATCAAAACTGACAAAAATCAAACACCACAAAATATTTCAATCAATATCTCAAGATTCATAATGGTGTTGATTTAGGTGTGAATATTGGTGATCTACTATCATAACTCTATGCTATGAGTGAGTGATATGGCCTGTGACAAAAATCATTAGCAATGTTGACATGTTGGATAAACCTCAAGTACAAGCTATTATTCTTTTAAATTCAGGTTTAAAGTATGTTCAGGAGATTGTATCACTAGTTTGGCACGTGTAAGAAAAAGGATACATTTAAAGTGTGTTACTAACTAGTTACATGTTTAATGTAATCCGGTATATCGGAGGGCATCTACCCTCACGTCACTGTATAGATATTTTATCGATAAATCGCCCGTTTTGATTTGAGGGACGTTGAAAAGTTAGCTAACGTGCCTGTGTGAGAGCAGCTACGAAGAGAGACTAACAATGCATCTGTTTCAGAACAAGTGTCTAATATCTATATACAAGTCTATAATCAAATTGAGGCTAATTTGTTGACTGATGTGATTCCCATAAGAGCTTTAAATCGATTATGATACAGTTGTTTTCCTCTTTTCCTTGTGGCCTAGCTAACCCACTTGTCTGATCGTTAGCTAACGTTAGCTACTGGTTAGCTTGCTGATAACCATTGATATAAACAAACAAAAGCTCCCGTTAAACTTTGCCGTCACTAACCTTCCCCGTTCCCTTTGTTGAATGTCTTGTGAGCTCTCTTTAAAAAACAAAATCAGGTTTTTTTTTCAACAGGACAAACGTTGACTGAAGTGGCGATATTTGACCGGCAGTATTTTCTCATCCCTCCTGCCACTAGCTTCCACCCCGATATCTGTTTACTTTTTGGCCTTTTTGGAGGAAGCGCATCCCGTGACAATAGCTACAAACCATCGGACCTTTTCCGCCTCTAAACTGACTTTGAATCGGTTTTCGTGGGAAGCCTCTCCTCGTGGATAGTAATGAAACCAGTGTACGCACGCTGACTCCTGATCAGCGGCGTTCAGAATCAACTGACATTGGGGGGCGGGGCTTGGCCCGTGACATAGTACGTTATTTACGTCGACGCTAGTTGGGAAACATGTCGGCATCTGAGACAACGACAAAGGTAGGAACCCCACTGCAACACAAAATGATACGTTAATGAAATTTAACTTTGTTCAAACGCCTTTAAACGCAATAGCCTACACAGCCGAACCATGTCAGTAAAGCTGCAGTATGCCACATCCCAAAATACCTTAATTTGTCGGTTGTAAGAGCTCTTTGTTGCAAGCTGTGCTGCACTGCTAGCATCATTAGCCTGTAACAGTTTTGAGGATTGCTTTAATGTTTTTGAATTTTTACTTATTTTCTTGATTCTTTGACTGTTTGACCATTGCATATTCGCCGCCTTTTGTTGTATTAAACCCGCGTTTAAGATTTTTCTGCATGGACCTTTTTCAAAGCAAATCCGCAGACAAAAAAGTCAATCTACAGAAGCGAAATGGGAGGATTTGTAAGTAGCCAGTGAGTGAAATTTAGCCTCATATTCCTTTCTAGTTTGCCGACGATTGTTGGCTGAAGCGCCCTGCTTTGGTTTTTGTGAAAGGAATGAATGAGTTGATTGACTGATGGCGGTAAAGTCGTGTCAACAGAGAAGATCAGTCATTGGTTGAAAGGTTTATTTTGCAATAGGTGGAAATTAAACACAGGACTTGAGCGGTTGCAATCACATGAACAGCTGCTATTCTTATGTTATTTCGTTATTTTTTTGTGTGTGTCTCTGGTGATTGGATTTAGATGGAGCCAATTACCACATTGCATCTCATGTATCTCCTCACAGTTAATTACATCTCGAGTATTTTGTCATTCATCCTGATTTACACTGGAAAAACAAACAAACATCATGTTTAGTTCAGGGACATTCACCTGTGATGACACAACTAAAACCTGAACCAGTAAGTAAGTGTTATCCAGTGATGTAAGAAGTATTTAGAGCATTTACTTAAGTATAATAGCCAAAGGTAAGAATACTCAATTATAAGTAAAGGTCCTGCATGAAATACCAAACAAATTTCAAAGTAAAATGACTCCTTTTGTCCATGTGATGGATTCATTAATATATGACATTATGATCTCTAACAATGTGTTGTATTTTATGACATAATTTTTTCTACATATTTATACATTAATACATATACATTTAACTAGTAACTACAGCTATAAAACAAATGAAGTGTGAAAGGAGTATGTTTTAGATGATTAATGTAACATTAAATGGAAATAAAAGTAAAGGAGAAGTATTTCAAAATTGCACATAAGCGCTGTGCTTGTGTAAATGTACTTAGTTGCCTTCCACCTGTGGCATAAACTTTGTGTGTTTCCTAGGAAACATGTCTTGACTAGCATATAGAGCAAAAATAATTATTAGTACATTAATGGATAACCAAATAGCTGTGTTGTAAAACCAATGGATAGCTGTGGTGTGAGATTAAAAAAAGGACCACAAACAAGAGTTATGTCTTACTTACATGGTAGTTATCAATGTAATCCTGTTAATTTTTATAAAATGAAGCTTTGCTCCTTGAAAAGCCAGTGAAAAAGAAACTAAATGATATCAGAAGTGCAGTAGATTTGTTACAGTCCAAGTATACCTAATCATTTCCTCTAATCCTAATCTAATTCTAATTGTCAAAAACAAAGTAGACCATAGTTCTGAAGTTTGAGTGTTACTGTGCATAAATTATTACACAACTCCACCAAAAGCTAAATTATTTCATATTCTTGTTGCTGCTTGAACTGCAGTGAATAAATACCTTTACTGGTCTGTATTCCTGAATATCAGTTGCTTTAAAAAATGATGGATACACATTTTCTGACTTATTTTCCTGTTGTTTCTCTATCAGGAGCCCCCTGAAGAAAATGACTCAGAAACACCCGCAGAGCCGTTAGCTGGACCAAGTCAAGTCAAGGAAGGTACATATACATCTCATCTCTGCAGATGATACATGAGGGGTTTGTACTAATGTTTGAAATCTGTGCATTTCAGGTAAACAGACCAACAGAATTATATTGCTGTTTTGATTTTCACTCCATGGCTGTGCTAGTTTTCTTAAGTCATGGGCTCTGAATGTTTCTCAGATAATGCAGCCCCCACCACAACTGCTGTTGCCAAGAAGACCGAGCCCATGGGTGGTATTCCATCGATGTTGTCACCTCAGCAACCTGGTAAGGAAGCATCCAGAGCTGGAGAAGAGGGCGAGAAAACGTCACCTGCCTCATCCCCAAACAAACCTGCTCCAGGTGAGACTTGGATCCAGCCTGCTTTTATCAGTGTTGCTGAAATGATGGCTCCTTCTGTTTGAGTTACCTGATTTTATTTGTCTCAGATTTTACAATAAGATGAACTGTTTTGATCCTGAAGCATAAATTCAACAGTAAGAAATATATTAATTAGGATATTATTATAGCAATATGATAATACAAAAAAAAAATTTCAGTGGATAGCTACCGTTCAGCAGTTTACAAGGATTTTTAAAACAGTACTCAGTAAGTGGTTTTATGTCCCTATCACAGGCCACGCAGCAAAGTCCCTTCCATCAACATCCTCCTCTTCATTGTCCTCCTCTCCTTCTACATCAACCTTGTCCCCCGGCCGAGCAAAGATGAGCGTTTCTGGACCCGGCAGCAGTAAATCCACCCTGCCACCTGCTCCTTCCTGCTCCTCTGCCACAGCTTCCTCATCTCCCTCTATCTCCCCTGCCCCACCAAAGATCCACCGAGCCCGCAAGACCATGAACAGGCCTCCACCAGGACAGGTGAGCCTATTTCATCTCTAACAAGGAGCTAGCATTTTCATTTGAATTGAGTGGAGTCAAATATGTAACTTTTTGTCTTGATTTTATTCCAACATTTGGCATCTGATGTTGCTTTGGCCCAGTGTCTTTTGATTCTTTAACAGAGTGCATTTTTCCAGCCACTGACTAAACACACACACAGTATAGGAGCGGTTCTGTTTTTTCTTTTATATATAATATAATTTGAGTCACTTTTTTGTTCTACAGATGAGTCACGTTGAGGCACCTGTGACTCCCTCAGGATCCTCTACCTGCCTTTCCTCTGACACTGAAACTGGTTTGTATCAGTAAAATATTCCCACCGACTAATATTTACCTGTGTGAAATAATCTGTTAGCTGTGAATAAAAAAAGAGTCAGGGGTCCTTGTTAATATCAAAGCTCACTCTCGTGGTTTATGTTGCTTTGTCATGTTTCCTGCAGGTGTAAAAAGGAGAAAACTGGATCATTTATCTGACAACACAGCTGAGAAGTCTGAGAACATTCCAGACAACGCTCAAACTGCGGTAAGATGATGTGTCTGCGGGCATATAATTTACACTTTGCTACGATAAGCTCTCAGTGGTTAATGTTGTCTATTGCTGATGTCTTTTCTGATTTCTTTTAAAAACTCAGGAAGAAATGTTTTTCCATAAAAAGGCGGAGCCTGTTGCCAAGACTGCACCAGTGAAGAGCTGCAGCAGTGTGGGGAAGTCAGAAGAGGAGGCGGCCAAGAAAATACAGATTTCCAGTCCGTCCACGCGAGATTCAGAAAAGGTGTGAGACTTAGATTTACGTATTGTCCCTTGAAACTAATTACCCATTGTCAAAGACATTTTTCCATTGTTAAATTTGCGTTTTTTTTTGTTTCTTTAATAGTTTGAAGATGGTGGGGGAGAAGCAAGGCAGCATACTAAAGACATAGAGGGGTCACTGAACATGTCAGATCATGTGAGTGACTCTATCGGTTTTACTACCCTGCTGATTACTTATATCTCACCTGAAGATGTCACTCAAGCTAACCTGTTAGCTGTAAGCTGGACAATACCAGCCCAAAATTGTTGTATCATTCTGCACTTGCTTGAAAATACAGAATGTATAACAACTCAAACTCCTTCCTATACCTAATTGAGAAGAGAGCACCACTTGCTGGACTGTCAATGGTGTTTTCTTTCAATTTCCAAAATTGAAAAACGGGGTGGTGACTGAAAAATATGTTTCCCTGCACTTTACCGCCACCAGCTGCAGAATAGTGTGAAAGCAGTGGCAGGAATGTTCAAATTCAGTCAAAAAATAAACCACTCAGAAGTTTCAACCTCTTTTCTCCCTTTCACACATGTCAAATGTTATATTCAGACAAACTTTCTCCCATGCAGAGTTCAGAGTCCGAAACACAGAGAACCGCCCAGAGTAGAAATGAGAGCGAGGAGTCTTCATGGCCGCCGTCAGACCAGGAGAAAGAGAGAAACACTGCTGATGTGGTGGAGACACTGGGAGGTGAGTGACATTACTTATGGGGTTTTCTGAAACCACACTTGTTGCACAGCTGTAAATGTGCCAAGAGCAAGCAGTCATCAAAAACTAGCATTTTCTTCTGTTGAAGAAGAAAAAAAGCCCAAATATATTTTTGTTAGTGTTGTCAATTCAGTGTTGTGTTTTTAAAAGGTGCTTTTTAAAGGGAGTTAATTGCTTCTCATTGGAATTGCAAAAAACACTTGTATCTCATTAATGTGGATCATTTTCCAGTATGTTTCTTTTATGCCTAATGCTCATAGTCATTTGGTCTTTCCTCAGCAGGAAGGTCTGCAGAGTACACAGAGGTTCCCTTGGGTGCTCTGGACATTGCTGCTGCTGACAGTCTGACACTTTCTCCTCATCATGGTAGGTTTATTATCGATACGTCACTGCATATAGCTCGGCTATAAATTATACTAATATTTGGTGTTCGTGACCCTGAATGAAATTAAAAAAGCTTTTGTTTATCTCCTTCAGCCTTAAGATCACAAACAAATTTTCAGAAAAATCTAATTTTCTTCCTCTCCTGCGCAGACGGCAGCGATGCAGGAGACACGGAGCGGCTGGAGGAGCTTCCTCTGTGCAGCTGCAGGATGGAGGCTCCTCGTGTGGACAGCACCAGCCACCGAGTCAGCAGACAGTGTATGGCCACTGAGAGCATCAA